TAAAAAAGTACTCCAGTACTTTTTTAATGAACTGATGATAACATTTCTGGAGAAATGTTATCATTTCTCCAGAGTTCTTAGATCTGAATATGTAAAGTTATCTGTGAGTTCGAGACCAGCCTGGTCTACAAGAGCTAGTTCCAGGACAGGCTCCAAAACCACAGAGAAACCCTGTCTCAAAAAACCAAAAAAAAAAAAAAAAAAAAAAAAAAGTACTGCCAGGAGAAACTAATCCATCACACCATGCAGTTGTTTCTAGATATGGCAGACACTTTCTCCTGTAAAATAGAAATGGGTTTTTCTGTAAATGAGTTTCATTTGTGTAAACGTTCTGTATCTCGTGTGGCTGCCCCAAATGGAGCATTTATTTTACAGACCGTGTCCAGAGGACAGTGCTGAAAATGGGCGGTAGCAATACCTTCTGCTAGCACAGCCTTGGAGACTGGTTTGCAGTTAACACGCCCTTCTCTCACATATATTTTTTCCTACTGAGCTTTGCTTATGCAAAACAGATTTCTCAAAGCAGATTGCTGATTGGTTTGCACAGATGTGGCTGGACTAGTCTGAACTGGTTGCTCATGCTACTTCTTATTGCTTTGTCTGTGTTTTGTTCTGCTTAGAACTATGAAAATCCAGTAAATGGATGTAGTGTGCTCTCTTGTGGGTATGGAAGGTAGTTACCCATCGTCTTCTGGCAGTACTGTTTGGTTCTTATTACTGAAGTTAATGTTAGTTTTTTATTATTATTTTATTTTTGCTAAAGCCAGCTTGACTTGCATTTAGTTTTGCTAAATGATACTTGGTGAAGACAGTTTAATATTAATTGTTATTTACACTGGATTTTCTAACTATCTTTCTCACACATAGGCACATACATACACATAGACACACACAACATCAATGTTACTTAATTTGTCTCAAACTCTGACAGTTATGCCTAGAAGTGCCCAGAGGAAATAGTCTAGCGAATGACAGTAATGCTGAGGACTTTGCTTGCTGCATTCTAAACACACTTCTCTCTTGTATCGGTGGAGCCTCACTCTGTACCAGAGCTTAGAGAGGATCTGACTGTGTAACTCATGCTGACCTCAGATTTGTGGTCATCCTTCTGCCTCAGCCTCCTAGGTGCTAGGATTATGGGTGTACTCCTCATTGCCTGACAATTTTAATTAATTAATTAATTAGTTAATTAATGTTATTAATTAGTCACATCATTTAATTTTCAGCAAAGCCTGTATATATGGTAGATCCACTTCCTTTTAAGGTCCTTTAAAGGAAGAGCAGGCTGGGCCACCTGCTCACATTGTTTGCTACCTGGGAAAGGGGGAGGGGGGCTCCCATTCCCGGCTCTCAGCAAGTTAATTTCTGATCTGCATTTTGAAAGCTAGGAAGTTTTTAATTTTTTTTAATGTAAATGATAACTTGGTTATGTACAGAATATCTGGAAATGGATATTTCAAAGTCTAAAGAAGTGGCGCTTCAGTATTTGAACTTATTTAAAGGGTAACCAAGCTACATTTAAAATGTTTACAGTCAATAAGGTGTGTAACAGGCTTGCATTGTCTGGGGTAGAGCTCATTGATAGCTCTGATTAGTGTGCAGAAGAAAACCTTGGCTTCTGCCTGCCGCACCAAAAAGTAGGCTACAAATTCTGTATCTTCACTGCAGCAAAATATATAGGTAACTTTGAAGTGAATGAGGAAGGAAAAACTTGGTTTCAGTTCTAGACTCTTGAAATAGAAATAGTCCAGTGGTGGTTTTGTTTGAAGATTTCTATATAGTTGAAAGATAAATTTTCTAAAGAGTTCTTTAATTTAAATAAAACTAAGAAATGTTTATATTATTGAATTAAATTCAGAAAATGAATGTCAAATGTAACACAATCTAGACATTCTTTGACCAAGTGTGGTATCCTATTGGTCTCTGACAAATAGGTCAGGCTTATTTTTGAAAGGTAATTGTTATTAACAACTTTGCTAGGTTATATTAGTGACAGTGTTAAAACCTGCTTTGATATGGTGTAAATTAGGTGGTTTTGTGGAGCTTAAAGACATAGGGCCTCAGGAGGGGAGAACTGTTGTTTGTATATAACACGGAGAAAAGCCTTTTTAAAGAAAAATTGGAAAAAAAGGTAGACCCTCGTTGACTGTGTGTGCACGCGTGCGTGCATGAATATGTGTGCAGGTGCACACGTACATGTGTTTTATTCCACTGTGGTTGATCTCGCTTTTTCTCTCCCCCCTCCTTTTTTCACTTCCCCCTCCCTCTCCTACCCATCTCACTCTTCTGTCTTCTACAGCTGGCATTGCTCCCCCTTTTGGTGGTACTGGGGATCATATCCAGGACTTCACATGCCACGCAGAAATGTTTATGTTTATATAAAAATGGTGATGTGAATACCTTTGCCCCCCCCCTTTTTTTTTGGTTTTTCGAGACAAGGTTTCTCTGTAGCTTTGGGGCTTGTCCCAGAACTAGCTCTTGTAGATCAGGCTGGCCTCGAACTCACAGAGATCTGCCTGCCTCTGCCTCTCCCGAGTGCAGGGAATAAAGCCGTGTGCTACTGCTGGCTGCCTTTTTAAAAAATCTTATTTCACCATTAAATGTAGCATTTATATCTAGAAAACCTTTATCAGATTTAAGTAAATTTTTTGTTTTTAAATGTCTTATTAATGATGAGGTAATGTTGAATGTAGTCTAATGGATATTTTGTGTCTATTGAGGCAATTCCTCACTCTTACTATTGTGTTTACATAATAAACCACACACACACACACACACACACACACACACACTCACACACTCTAGAGATATTGTCTTAATTTCCCAGGCTAGAAGCTCAAAAGGTGTTGTCAAGGCATATCTCCTTGGAAGGGCCTGAGGAAGCAGTTGTCCAGTCAACTTCTTCCACCTAACTTCTTCTAGGTGTTCTTTGGCTTGTAATATCATAGCTCCCGTCTTACTGTATTTTTTCCTAGGTACGCTGTTGTCTGAAGGCATTGGTCACTTTGCAATAGAGCCCACCCTCTTAGCCTTCTACTCATCTGTAGTTTAAACAGTAATGGTGTAGTTCCACAGTCTCATTCATTTTAAGGAAAAATCATCAGGCACTTTTTGGCCCTGTGTGTATAGACCAGGATGTGTCATGAGCTGTTCATGGTCAGTGTTTGCTTGGGTTTTGATAATGATCTTTACCTGGTGATTAGTATAACCTCTTAAAGAAATACACTAGTCAGTCATCTATAGATAAAAAAGAAAGAATTATGAAAATTAGAAAATATTTTAGCAGAAAAGAATGATAATATGACAGCTGACTCTGAGACTCGAGCTGGAATGTGGCCTAGCAGTGAGGAGTGGTTCTGCTCTTGTAGAGGACCTGGGTTTAGTTCCCAGTACTCACCTGGACTCAGAATTGTCTGTAACCCCAGTTTTAGGGGATCCAGCATCTACTTCTGGATTTCTTGGGTGCACAGGATACACAGATATTCAGGTTGTATATACACATAAAAAAGCATGAGATTAGACTAGGCGGTGGTGGCACACTCCTTCAGTTCCAGCTCTTGGGAGGTGGATCTCTGAGTTCGAGGTGAGCCTGATCTGTTAAGAGCTAGTTCCAGAACAGTTACCAGAATATCTGTCTCTCTCTCTGGTTTTTTGAGACACTCGTAGAGAGAGATAGAGATATTCAGGTAAAGATACTCTTAATAATTAATGACATTCTGTCATACGTTATAAAAGATGAGATTTAATTGGAAATTAGCGGTTAAATTTGAACCTTAAGGAAATATGGTTCAGTAGTTAGTCTCCATTGTCACTTGAGATCTAGACTTGCCTGAGATGGGCGTCTTGGATATGCCGGTGGGTGGGTTACCTTGATTAGGCTTAGGAAGTAGAAAGACCTCCCCACCATGTGTCATCCCATTCCCTGGACTGGGGCCTGGTCTCAGAAAAGAAAAAGTGAGGCGCGCACCAGACCTCATCATTGCTTTCTGATTGTGGATGTGCCAGGAGCAGCCATGTCTGTCTCCTGCTGCTGCCTTGACCTCCCATCACAATGGGCTGCAGCCTTGAGCTAGGATTCAGAACAAACTCTTTCTCTCCAGGGTGGGTTTTTTTTCCCAAAGAATATTTTATTTCAGTAACTGAAAAAATAACTCATCAGATGCAAATTAAACCCATGCAAAAAGTCAAAGAGATGATTATTAGAGGAGAAATGAGCAAAAAAAAGTACAGAGCAGTTGTACACCAGAAGCATTAACAAGGATAAAAGTTCATTCTTTGGTAAACAGATTTGATAGGACTGTACCGCAACTGACCTAAAAAGAGGACATACTACAATATATTATAACGTATAATTCGTCCATAAAAATGTACAGTTAGAGGGTTTTCAGTGGATAGACAGCATTGTGTAGCTGTCGCCACAGTGAGTGTTTGCACGTTTCTTTGTATTCCGTGGAAGAATCCTGGTCTCTTTAGCATCATTGCCTGCTTTCTCCAAACCTACAAACCAAGCTGGGAAATGGCCCAGTGGCTAAGTATATTTCCTGCTTTTGAAGACTCAGGTTTGGTTTCCAGAACTCATTTTCCTCATGTGCTTTTTCATGCTTCCTGAAGCACCTCTGGATTTTTTTCCCCTCTGAAACAGGGTTTATCTGTGAGTAGCCCAGACTGGTCCTGGAACTTGCTCTGTAGACTAGGCTGGCCTCAAACTCAGGGAGATTCACCTGCCTCTGCCTCCTGAGTGCTGGGATTAAAGATGTGTGTCACTGCTACCCGGCTGCTTCTCTGGCTTTTTAACTCTTACATTGAGAATAAAAACTATCCCTCTTTTCTCTTCATTTTCTTAGCAACTGATGTTCTGCTGTGTGCTGTGTCATCTCTTAGTTTTATGTTATGTAAATCTAGTAAACATGAATTGTCTAAATTGTCCACATTAATTTTCAGTAAACCTGTAGTTAAATGACTTTTGTCTCAATTATTCCTTTTTTTCTTTTTATTTAAAGATTCAAAATGGATAGTGTAGAAGAACCTCAGAAAAAAGTCTTCAAGGCTCGCAAAACAATGAGAGTGAGTGACCGTCAGCAGCTCGAAGCTGTGTATAAAATCAAAGAAGAGGTGCTGAAAACCGATGCTAGACTCTTAAATGGGAACCACGAAAATGGAGATCTGGATCCCACCTCGCCTTTGGAAAATACAGATTGTATTCAAGATAGAGAAGAAGTGAACGGGATCGAAGGGATTAGTTTTGAATCTGAAGAAAGTAAAACAGAATTGAAAGAAACACCTTGTATCCCAAATGTTAGTGTAAAAAACAAGCAAGAACAGGGTTCAAGTAATGAACCTTCATCTCCTAGTGTGACTTCCGAGCCTGCTTCTCAGCTAACCAGTGAACCAGCCTCTGCTACCCCAGCCCCTGCTACCCCAGCCCCTGCTACCCCAGCCCCTGCTACCCCAGCCCCTGCTACCCCAGCCCCTGCTACCCCAGCCCCTGCTACTCCAGCCCCTTCTACCCCAGCCCCTGCTGATCTGACCACAGAAGAGCTGGCTGCTGGAGTACCAGCCACTGATGGCTCTCCCTGTGAGGAGTCCCCTTCTAGTGATCCCTCCTCCCGTGATCTCACCCTTAGTGATCCCACCTCTGCAGATACTGCTTCTGAAGAGCCTGCCTCTGATGATCTTGCCTCTGGTGGTTCCACCTCTGGTGAGCCGCTGTCGGATGAAGCAGTTTCATGTGAACCAGTTACAGATGAAGTGGTTGCTGGTGAAGTGGCAGTGGTGTCTTGTGACTTGGCCTCTGGGGAGCCATCTTCTGATGATTGTGCCCGCTCTGGTGATTTGCCTTCTGATGATCTGCCTTCTAGTGATGAGCCCTCTGGTGGCCCTACCTGTAGCAGACTGGCTTCTGGTGAGCTGGCTCCTGGTGAGCTGGCTGCCGAATCAGCCACTGATACTTTTAAACCAAGTTCTGTGCCAGTTTGTGAACCAAGTCCTGAAACTGACAAGACAGAGCAGAGTGGCAATAACAATGATGATTGTTCAGAAAAAAATGAAGACAGTGAAAACGTAGACCAAATTCAAAGTAAAAACTCATTTGATGAGGAAGATAAAACTAACAATAATGTTGGTGAGAAGGAAGAAACTCTAGAAACACACAGTGCAATTATTTGTTGTGATCTACCTCCAGAAAATACAAAGAAGGTAGAGGAAGAGCCCATTGCCGCGCTTGCTCTCGCAGAAGAGGCCATCTCCAGCAGTATGGAAGTTGACCAAAGTGAGAAGGATGAGCACAAAAGTCCTGCGGAAGCTGAGGAAGCTGTCAGTGACAGTGCTGCAGAAGACAAGAAGGAGACTGCTTTAGACACCACGGACTCCATGGAAACAGACGAGATCATTCCTATTCTGGAAAAGCTTGCACCTGCGGAGGATGAACTTCCTTGCTTTTCAAAGACTTCTCTCCTTCCGGCTGAGACAAGTCAAGATTTGGAAGAGAAAATGGAGGGTTCTTTTGGCTCACCATCAAAACAAGAAAGTACTGAGAATTTGCCAAAAGAAGCCTTTTTGGTCCTCTCTGATGAAGAGGACATTTCATGCGGAAAAGATGAGCCCGAGGTTATATCACAAAATAAGCCGAGCTCTCCAGGTTAGCTGATTATGGATTTTATTTGCTTTAATGAACTGTTTACTAGAACCTGCCCATTTCATGTTGATATCAGTGATCCTTGAATAACATTACAGAAACGCAGCTAAGTGTGGTGGCACAAGGGAAGATAGAGGGCCCAGGAGTTAACCTTGGCTACATAAGTAGTTTGAGGCTAGCCTATGCTACATGAGACCCTATCTTAAACTATTAATAAGATAGTTTTAAAAAATAGTACTTTTATAAAAATAGAAGAACTAATATGTCCTAGTACACCTGGAAACAAGCTGTTGCATATTGGTAAATACTACTTTGTCGATAATTAAAATCATAGCCTAAGGAGACTGGACTAGTATTTCTTTTTCTGGGTAAGTTCAGACATTGTGGAGGTATTCTGTCTTGTCTTGTCTTACTTCAGCATGCCTTCCATCGTGGAAAGTTTTTAGCTGCTTCTCCATCTCTTTGCTCATTTTGAGAGCTAGACCTCCAGTCACATTCACAAAGCTAGCTCCTTGTTTCTCCTCCTAGTAAGTTTCCAGCTTACCTGGATTTGACTTCCCACCTTGCCAGAGCCCCACCCTGGCTATTGTCAAACTTGAGGTGGACCAGTGCTTCTTAACCTTCCTAGGGCTGTGGCCCCTTAACACAGTTCCCTGTGCTGTGACCTCATCCATTGAGTCACTTTCATTGGTGCTTCATAGCTGTCATTTTGCTGCTTTTATGAACAGTAGCGTAAACCTAAGGTCTGTGGTTTCTGATGAACTTAGGCAACCCCTGTGAAAGGTCATCCAATCCCCAGAGGGGTCGCAACCCACAAGTTGACAACCAATGATGTGGAATATAGTATTGGTACCCTTGTATTAGTGTAAAGCTTTGAAAAAATCTGTATAAAGTTAGATTTTCTGTAGGATACATTCTCCTGATGTGTTTTGCAGGATTGAAACTTTTCTGTTTATTGACCTTTTGTATTTTCTTATATATGAATTACCTGTTACTTTCTCTATTTTTTTTCTAATGGGTATGTTGTTTTCAAGTAGCCTTTAGTACTTTAACTTTAAATATAGTTATGGATTCAATCCAAGGCAAGGGGTTGGCAGACTATGGCCTGTGGCCCACAGTTTAGCTAGGACAGAGGCAAACCTGTTTCCATGTCGCATACACTATTGTTATTCCTGCACAGGGCAGCAGTGAGTGAGTGTGTCAGGCTGTGTACTCTTTGGTTGTTAAAGGCAAAGTCACCTACCAAGGTAATGTCAGGATGATCAGAAATGCTTTATTTAAGTGCTTTTTTTTTTAAAGGTTTTGGGGTTACCTGGATTTGACTTCCCACCTTTAGTAATCTTACTGTGTTGACAGACAGAGCCAGTTTCATGGAAGATAGAACTGTGAAAACTTAGCAACTTAACGAGAAGGCTGTACTGAAGAACAGAGGCATCTGTACACACGTGCCATGCCTAGGATAGGCTCTCTAAGTACAGGCCAACTAGGAAGCTTTGTGTTGGGATGGGCTTTAGAAATCCCTGACACTGCCTGAAATGACACATAAGTTGTTTCTGAACAAGGGCCTTTGATGATCATTTTGTGTTGAAAGAAGATTTCCTTGGGGCTAGAGAGAACACTGAATATTCATTTGCTACTCTTGCAGAGGGCCAAAGTTGGACTCTGAGCACCCACATGGTAGTCCACAGCTACCACACACACACACACACACACACACACCCCTCACACACACACACACACACCCCTCACACACACACACACACACACCCCTCACACACACACCCCTCACACACACACACACCCCTCACACACACACACACACCCCTCACACACACACATAGTCACCACACACACACACACACACACACACACACACACACACACACACACACGTGTTCTCTAAATCTTTCCCAAAGGGCAGTTTGCTCAATCCCTAGAATGTTTGAACAAAAAAATATGGGCTCTACTTCCTGGTAAGAATATGTGAACATTTTTCAACAGATTTGGTTCTGTGACACAGTGTAAACTTTAGCAATCACTCTGATCCTTGTGTGTGTGTCTCAAGTGCCATGAGTCTAGTGGACAGATCTGAAATTGATCATTGCAGAGGAGATACATGAGTTGTTTAGAATTTACAAGTATGGCTGGGTGGTAGTAGCTCAAGCCTTTAATCCCAGAACTCGGGAGGCAGAGGCAGGTGGATCTTTGTGAGTTTGAGGCCATCCTGGTCTACCGAGTGAGTTCCAGGACATACTCCAAAGCTACATAGAGAAACCTTGTCTTGAAAATCAAAAAACTAAACACGCAAAAAAACAAAACAAAACAAAACAAAAAACAAAACCAAAACAACATAACAAAAAACCTCAAAAACAAAAATCCCCAAAACAAACAAACAGAAAAAGAATTTACAAGTATTTTAAGAATATCGTTGTTATTTTGGTAATTGTCTTAACTACTGCTTTCGTTTTTTTACATTTATTTATTTATGTAAGGTAACAGTGTGTGGGTGGTGGCAGGGAAGGGGCGGGAGGTTCGAGGGTAACTTGGAGTCATTTCTCTCCTCATGTCACATGAAACCTGGGAATTGGTTGTCAGGCCTGCTGGCAAGTGCTTTCACCTCTGAACCACTCTGGTTTAGTTTAGTAACTGAAAGCAAAGAAATAGGAATGCTTTATAATAGTTGTTACTGGTGATAGAAAATGAAGAAGTTAAATTGTTGACTTTAAAATCTGTTATTTTTTATATTGCACTTATTAAGGATAAACACAATTTGAATGTAAACTTAGTATTTAACTTTTCAATTTGTGCTCTCTTTTTCCAGATTTCCTATTTTGTAACTTTAATTTTGTAAAAGTTTGTTTGGTAGCTGAATGGTGACCAAAAAATGTAAATTGATGAGCTGTTACTAACTTTTGCCGAAATAAGTAAAATTCCCTTTTTCTCTACATTTGTCCTCACAGAAGTAGAAAGGAATGAAAAGGACAGCAAAGCTGAGGAGGAGGAGGAGCGAGTGCCGGATGAGGAGCGGCTACCTGTGAGAAGTATGCACATACCCGCATCTGCCTTAGTTGGCCTTAGCCGTGATGGGCTGCCCTCTCTGCTCCAGAGATGGCCATAGCTTTTTTTGTTTAAGCCTCAGTTTTCTGGTCTTGCAATGACAGTTCAAGGATCTTTGGATGCATCTTTTCATGTTTCAGTGTGTTTGTGTTAATCGTTCCGTACAGGATTTAGACTTAACATGAGGCACCAGGTATCTTAAACTGTTTGTAAGCTTGGAGAGGGAGGATTTGTCTTGCTGTAGTGAGAGGTAAAACGTTCCTAACAACACAGATTCAAAGGGAAGGGGTGTAGAACTGATGCAGTAGACAGAAAAGGACTGGGCAGCTAGGAGCCAGCAGCACCTTTGGTTTATTGTATCTGTATTAAAAAGTGCATAGATAGATGCGGATATAGTTCTTTATCTACTACTAAGATAAAACGGAATGGATAGTTTCTGAGTTTCTTTCTACCCCTCATCTTGAACATTGTTTTATAGATCAAAGAAAATAGGTTTCATTTATAGAGTGACATTGGTAAGAACCTAAAAGGTGTGGAATATTAGTGTTTCAATTTTTTAAATGCTGAAAAACCAATTAAATTTTTCTCATGATTTAATGTATGTTAACATTTGAAATAATTTTTTAATTGAATGTCTATTCTGTGCCAGTGTATTTCTGTGACATTCATTTCACTGTCTTTGTATCTGAACTCTTAGGAAATGTTAAGAGTTCATGTCTGAGTCTCTGCTCAGGGTTGAATGACCAGAGAGTGGCTCGGTCACTGTGATTGCCATGCACCTGTTTTTGCAAGGAAGAACTAGTAATTCAGAATATATAGAGATTCTAGAAGTCTGCAATGTAGGATGATCAGTCTTTGTGGTAATGCATTCATAAGTGCTATGAAATTCAGTAAAAGGAAGATTGGGGCGGGTTCCTGTCATCCGCAGGACAAGGCTGTAGAGCATTCTTGGTCTGTGTGAGGATCTCAAGGGAAGAACACTCCCTGGTTTCAGAGTTCACTGCTAAGCAGTGTGCAGGTTCTCTTTGGCGTAGTAGACAAGACCTCAGCTGTAAAGCTAAAGCCGAGCGCTGCCGTGTGTGTCTGCCGAGCTCTTAAGAACAGTCAGACGGTGACTGACAGAGAGCTTCATCTGCTGACTCACTGGGCTGTTGACTGCTGTAACTAAAACAATGGACTTTTAAAAGTGCGGGGGCTTTTGTTGTTTTTCTCAGATGAATTTTCCAGACGAAAACGTTCTAAATCAGAAGACATGGACAGTGTGCAGTCCAAACGTCGGCGCTATATGGAAGAAGAATACGAGGCAGAGTTTCAAGTAAAGATCACAGCCAAGGGAGACATTAACCAGAAGCTTCAGAAGGTGCTACCCGTTATATTTCAATGTTCCAGAGTGTCACTGTCCATACACATCAAGATTTCTAGCACGATCCTATTATTCTGTGTTTACTTAGTCAGAATTTAGCCAGTCAGAACTTGAAGTCAATGACAAGCTATGAAATCTGTGATTATTTTTGTTAACTTCATTTTAAATTTCCTCTGACTCTTATTTGTTACAGTATTTTTATTTAAAAAAGTGGTAGTGATTATTAAAAATAAAAGGGAGATATTTTTCTATTTGTTTTTATGGTAAAAGTGAATAGTTTTTGAGCTTTTCTTTTTCTTCCTATATTGACCATTATTTTATAATGCAGAAGAAACAAGCTTTATTTATTTTAAATCTTAATAGTAGACTTAAATACTATAATAATTTTTATAAGTTGGTACTTCCTAAAACCTCTTTATGTTAATATAAAGATGATAAAGACAAGGCTTTAGATGCACTAGGAAAAGGAATGTTCAGAGTAAAGATTTTCTGCAATTTTCCTCTATGTCTGTTATACTAGTATACAGCTATCGCAAATTAATTATTTTGGTTATTTACAATATTTTTCCTAGTGTGAGAAGGGGAAGAACTCTCAGAGTAAATACTTTCCAAGCATGAGAACCAAAGTTCTCATTTGCAACACTATTATGAAAAGTCAGTCATGGTGATGTTCACGTATAAATCTCTTCTAGCTAATGCACTGGGAAGCTGAAGCCAGGGACTCCTATACTTCAATGACCAGCCAGTCTAGGTAGATGGTGAACTCTAGCTCAACCAGTATGAGGCCCTGACTCAACAAGGTGCAGAGTGATCATGGAAAATACCTGATGTTGACCTCTGTGGTCCATGGGCACACGTATCTTTACATGCATGAGCACCACACAGATCCATATCAACATCTGTTTAAAACACCTTTTATAGAGAGCCATGAAACTCAGATCTCCTCTTTGCTCCATAAGACATTTGTTCATAATAGTGTAGGCTCTAGCCCAGGTTGACTTTAATCTTGCAGGTGTCGTCCTGCCTTCACTTGCGGGTGTAAATCACCAAGTCTGGTTGTTTTTTAGGGTCTTATGTATTTAGTCATAAATTAATAAACCGAAGTTCTTCTAAGATACAAGAACAAATGGTACAAGCATCTATGCTTTTTTAAAAAAGGAAATTAAATGAAGTTATAAAAATGCTCTTACTGCCTAGTTTCCTTTTCTTGTGCCTATTGAGATAATAATGCATTCAGCACTGTTCGAATTGTGAAGGGCTGATGAACACCTGTGGGTTGAGGATTTCCATCTCTAGACCATATTTCTAAGGTGTGGCATATAGATCATATAGATATGCCAGTATCCTGTTTTTTTTTTTTTTTTTTTTTTTGTGGGTCACATGAAACAGTGGTTAAATTTTGGATAAATATTTGTTATATTTTATCAAGTCTTATACTCCAGTGACATTTTTACTGCATCTCACAAAATTGCCAGTCATTAATAGATTAGAAAAATTCTGAAGCTGTTCTTTTTAACAAATTTTGTTCAGATGGGTTCAGGATAATAAGGATGATAAGGAGAAAATACTAAAAAGCTTCAAATTATTTTCAGAATTCCACTCTGGAAGTGTTATCCTTAGTATGGACTTGTGTTTTTGGCGTAGTGGTGAATGGCAGTAGGTAGCATTGAGTTTGGAATTTTATACTTTAAGTTAGTTAACCCTGTTTTATTCATTAAATAAGTTCTTATTATTGTTGTTAGTTCTTAATATTTACTGTTTTTGTTGTTGTTGTTGTTGAATTGCCCTTTTGTAACAAAGGAATTTTTTTTTTAAGGTTATACAGTGGTTACTTGAAGAAAAATTGTGTGCTCTCCAATGTGCTGTGTTTGATAAGACTTTGGCAGAATTGAAAACCCGAGTGGAAAAGATAGAATGCAACAAAAGGCATAAAGCAGTTCTTTCCGAGCTGCAGGTTTGTACGCTGAGGCTAATTCTGTAACCCACGTTTCATTGTGTATAATTTATTTTTTGATTATGTATTACCATTTTCATGTATTTGAAGCTGACTGCAAAATACATTAGCATCCTATTTAAGAAGTAAAAAGTGTCTGTTGTTCTTGCTGGGGCTGCTGTTAAAACAGAACCATACATAGCTGGATGCTTTACCAACTGAAGTGTGTTACTCTACAGTTGGAGAACAGAAACCCTAGGGGAAGGTCCCAGCAGACAGCTTTCTCTGCATAGTAGTATTGTGAGGAGGGGTGCACACCAGGTCTCTTCTCTGACTCGTGCTGGCAGCTCTGAGGAGGTATCTTTTTCATTCCTGGCTTTGCCTTCATGTGGCACTTTTTTCTGTGTTTTGTGTTCAACTTTCTTTGTAGTTGAAGGTACCAGTTATATAAATTCCATTAGAAGAGAACCACCCCAGTCTAAGAGACTTCATATTAATTGATTATTTTTACAGTGACCCTTAGATACCTGGGTTATAGACTTTATGATATGAGCTTTGGCATAATTTAACCCCACATCAGAGACTCAGAAATTACCTAAATTGGTACTTAAAAGAACTTTTTGTTTATCCCTGAAGAAAGGTTGGCATATAGCATACCGTAGATGCAAAATAATATTTGTGAAGGATTAGTTTTGTATCATTCTACTTTGTCTGTGGATATTATGCTTTATGATGTTAGTTTATAGGACTGGAAAGATGACTCGGTGGTTAAGAGCACTGACTGCTCTTGCAGAGGACCCAGTATCAGTTCTCAGTACCTACATAGTGACCCAACTGTTGGCAACTCCAGTAGGGATCTATTACCTTTAATTGACCTTAGGCACAAGACACATACATACATGATGCATGTCCGTATATTCTTATAGAAACATTTATACATATAATTTTTTATAAAAGATATTAGTTTACTAATCCATGCTCCCGGCCTCAATCTTTGAAAACCCACCTTCCCAAGGAGGGTCAAGGAAGCCCGCCAAACCTTGACTCCTCCCCAGGAAAGGTCAAGACACTTCCACAGGCTATTTAAACTTCACCTCTTCCTCTCAGTGTCTGTTGGGTTTTTTTTTTTGTTTTTGTTTTTGTTTTTTTGTTTTTTTTTCGAGACAGGGTTTTTCTGTGGTTTTGGAGCCTGTCCTGGAACTAGCTCTTGTAGACCAGGCTGGTCTCGAACTCACATAGATCCGCCTGCCTCTGCCTCCCGACTGCTGGGATTAAAGGTGTGCGCCACCATCGCCCTGCTGTTGGGTTTTTCATTTTCCCCTCAGGGCCACCCGAAAGCACAGGAGTCCAATTAAACCTGGATATCTTTTAATTTGGTCTGATTTGGTCTGATTGGGATTATTTGTGTCAGCGAAAATTATTCCTAACAATCCATATTAAAGATGAGTATTTTTTTTTCTATGTATAGTTGAGAATGATTTTGAACTTCTGGTTTCCTGCCTCCACTTATTGTTAGGATTATAAACATACACCTCCACGCCTGGTTTTGTGGTGTTGGGGTCGAACCCACGGCCTTGTTTATTTATTCTAGGCCAACAACTGAGCTACATCCTCAATTGCTTTCTCTCCTCACTACCTGCCCAAATGCTTCTTTATTCAATTAGTTGAGTTGCTCAAACAAAATGTTTAATGCATTTCCCAATAATTCTACAAGAAGAATGAAAATGGATATATAATCCTTGGATGTAGCACGAGTAATAAAAACCCAGAGATAGATACTGGGGTTCAAGCTGAAAATCAGAAAAGCAAAGCACTAGAGAGACCTTTTTTTTATTTGCTTGTTTGTTTGATTTGGTTTCTTTCAAGACAGGCTTTCTCTAAATACTCCTGACTGTCCTGGAACTCCTTCTGTAGACTCAGCTGGCCTTGAACTCAGAAATTTCACCTGACTCTGCCTCCTGAGTGCTGAGATCAAAGGCATTCACCACTGCCACACCTGGCTCACTAGAGAGACCTTTTACCTCTACCAAATATTCAGACTGAAAGGGCAAGATCCAGTCTCAGTGAATCCTCAGACTCTACACTCCACTAAGTTCTTGTTTCTTCCCCTTTATATTCTTCTCTTTGCCCAGCCATATCACTCCTGTCTCCACCTCCTTAGTGCTGGGATAAAAGGCATGTGATCCTAGGTGCTGGGATCACCTTTGTGTGAGCTCTGTTTCTGTTTCAGACAGATTTAGTCTTGTGTGGCTCGGGGTGACTTTGAACTCAGGGAGATCCATTTGCCTCTTTCTCTTGAGTCCTGGGATTAAAGGTGTGTGCCTGTATGGCTGACAAGTATGACTGGTTTATTCTCTGGTCTTCAGGTAAGCTTTATTTATTAGAATACAAATAATATACCACTATAATTAGTCTTTTTTATTAGTATTATAATGAGCTTCTTTATTCTAACTTTGACTGAAATTCTACTTTATCAGTATGTATGTAGCTACTCCAGCTTGATTTCACTTATCATTTGTTTGGAATATCATTTTTCTATCCTTTCATATTCACTCTATATCTTTTGTCCGTGTGATGTGTTTCTTGCAGGCAGTAATCAGTTGGATTTTTTCCCCCTTGTTTTAATCTAATCAGTCTGTCTGCATTAGAACAGGAGAGTGAAGATAATTTACGTTTTTTACTAAGATTTACATGCTCATTCCTGTAGTTCTGTCTCTTTTCACAGCAGCAGCTCCTCAGCTGATCTGAGTACTTTTTCCTTTCTACCTTACTGATCTTAAAAGTTTTCTGGGACACTATATTGAATTTGTTTTATTATTTCCTAATTCTGTTTGTTCATACATTCTCATGGAACTCATTTTTTTTCTAGGCTTTTGTAATTGTGACTTTCTTCTTTGTGTGTATGAAGAATTCTGTAATTTTTTTTCTAATGTTGCTTTAAGTAGTCATGGTTTGATTTGGTATATGTTCATCTTAGAATGCCCCCTCCCCCCTATCAGAATTTAAAGGATAACTTTTCTGAATATTTTAACTAGTTAGGGAGTGATTTACCTAAAATATACGTGCTTTCCTGACTTTTAGGTTTTATGATGTAATAAAATTATAATGAATTTGCTTTGTAAGATGACCCTTTACAGCATTCTTTGTTGAGTATTGATAATTTAACAATAATGTGTCATGAAAAGTTTCTTTCTGGTTCTGTCTGATAAAATACCTCCTGCACTTTTTTTAAATCAGGGAAATTTTCTGCTAGAGTGTGATTTGACAAGGTTTTCTATGCTTTTCGTTTGCTCCTCAGCTTCTTCTACCTCTGGGATTAAATCTGGTCTCATGATCAGAGTTCCTTAAATTGTGCCTATGGCTCATTATTCTTATTTTCCTTTATTACTGTATGAATATAAGAATTCCTTACCTTGTTTTCAATCCCTGATATTTTTTCTTCTGATTGATAAGTCTTTGGGTGATGCATCCCATTGAGTTTTAAAAAGTTTGTGTTTATCTTTTAATTTTAATATTTCCATTATTAAACATTACTTTCCAGAATCTCTCTTTGTTAAATTGGTATTTGTTATCTAAATACCAAATTTGCTTTACTTTGTTTAACTTAATTTTATTTCATTGAGGTGATAATTCTTTTTAAAATTAGATTTTCAAATTCTTTGACATTTCAATCATTTTGTTATCTCACCTGTCTGTTTCTACATTTTAATGTATATCATTTGATTGATACTTCTTCTGATTGCATGTTTTATCTGTCTGCTTTCTCTTGAGGTTTCAGTTTCTCCTACCATGCAGAGGAGAGAGAATATACCACAGTAATACTGTTCATTAAAAACAACAACAACTAGATGTTTAGATTTTTGTTACATTTCTTTAGTTTGCATGTGTTTATGTATGTGCGTATTTGTGTGTATGTACATGCATGGTGCACATGTGAATTAGGACAGCGTGACAGAGGTACACTCCCGTTCTGCTGTGCTGAGCCATCTTGTACAATATCCTTAACTGTAGTAAAATAATTACAAACAACATCTGTTCTCCTACTTAGGGTAGAAGAGCAAAAGCCCAGGACACATAAGATGAACTCAGGAGTTAAAAATTAAATCATAGTTAATTAGAAATCGAAAAGGAAATAGGGAAAGCACAGAGCAGGAGAAACAAAATCATGAAAGACAGGAAAAGCATGCTGTGAAGGGTGGAGAAACTGCAGTGAGTGGTAGACACAGCTAGAGAGAGAAACAGAGAGACAGACAGCACATGAGCCCAGCAAGAGAGACACCCATGGAACACAGAAGGAAACAAAGCAAGCGGAAGCCCAGTTGGCAGAGTTGAGTGCTCTGGTGTGTTTTCCCTAAGCTACTCAGTTGGCAGAGTGGCATGGAACTGTTTTTGTTTTCTCTGTGAACTCCAAACAGGTTAGACCTGAAAGGGTTGTTTGCCTTCTAACCTCCTCTTGCCTTCAAAGGATAATTTATAAACCTCCTCTCTTCTGCTGTAGACTCAGTAAAGCTTTTAGTCACTTAGAATTCCACTTGTGTGAATTACCCCAAAGAAATATTCTGAAAGAACAAAGCTATAAAGCCATGGGTATAGCCCTGTATGACTGTAGCAAGGCACTGGAAAACATTCACCTTATCCGGTAGACAAAACATATATAATCAGCTCCAGTGCGGCGGTGCTCAACCTGAGGGCTGAGACCCTGTTGAGGGGGGGTCACATATAATATCCTGCTTCTCAGGCATTTATATTAACAATTTATAACAGAAGCAAAATTACAATTATGAAGTTTATGGTGGAGAGATCACCACAACATGAGGAACTGTATCAAGGGGCCACAGCATTAGGCAGGTTGAGAGCCACTGCTCTGGTAGAAAGCTGCATGTCCAAATGAGTAGATATCCAAATAGTGTTGTCAAAGGATTTCGTATGACTTGCATATATGTCTGCATGCATGTATGTTTTAAGTTAGATAGTTAAGCGTGGGGCTGCAAAGATAGCTCAGTGGTTAAGAGTACTGCCTGCTCGTCCAGATGACACAGGTTCAATTCGCAGCACCCACGTTGCAACTCGTGACTGTCTGAAACTCCAGCTCCAGGGGATTTGACACCCTTACACATTATGCAAAATACCAATAAACAGAAAATAAATAGAAAATAAACAGTAAATAAATAAATTTTAAAAAAAGTTGTGTGATTACAACCATTTTGAAAAATAGCTGCAAATAAAATAAAACCTTATATATTTCAAAATATGCTCTGGAAAGTAAATATACTTAGTTGTGTGGTAAGGACAAGCTGGTCTATTAGTATTTATATCTGGCAATTAGTTCAGGGAGCACACTGTGTTTTTTCCAAGTATGTATTTTACAGTCAGCTTGTCTTATTTGTTTCTCAGTAGCCTGTTTCCTGTAGATTTCTCTTGTGAATAGCAGACCTTAAAGGAGTTATAGTACTTGACTTTTGTTTGTTTCTTTTCTAGGCCAAGATAGCCAGATTAACCAAACGTTTTGGAGCAGCCAAAGATGATCTTAAGAAAAGACAAGAAGTAAGCATTTCTGTTCTGTGTTCATTATCCTAGTGTTCTGTTGCTCTGAAGAGACTCCATGATTGTGGCAACTCTTATAATGGAAAACATTTAACTGGGGCTGGCCTATAGTTTCAGAAGTTTAGTTTAGTCATTGACCTCATCACTGGCAGACATGGTGCTGGAGAGGAGCTGAGAGTTCTACATTCTGATGGGCAGGCAGTAGGAAGAGAGAATGACATTGGGCCTGACTTGAGCACTTTAGAATCTCAAAGCCCTCCCTCAGTCACACACTTTCTCCAACAAGGCCTCTTTTCCTAATAGTGCCACTTCCCAGTATCCAAGCATTCTTATCTTTGAGCCCATGAGGGACATTCTTACTCAAATTACCACATTCCATTCCTTGGCTCCCATAGGCTTGTTGTCATATCATAATGTAACACGTTCAGTCTAACTTCAAAGTCCCCATAGTCTGTATCGTTCCAGTACTGTTAAAATGTCCAAAGTTTAAAGTCTCTTCTGAAACTCAAGGCAATCTCTTACATGTAACCCCCTGTAAAATGAAATTTGGAAACCAGATCACACACTTCGAACAAACAATAGCACAGGATATATATTACCATTCCAAAGGGAGGAAAGGGAGTATAGTAAGGAAATACTAGACCAAAACAAGACTGAAAACCAGCTGGGAAAACTGCAAACTCTTCCAGCCCATGTCTGATATCAAAATGCTCTTCAGATCTTCAACTCCTTTCAGCTTTTTTGAATGCAGCACACTTCTCTCTCTCGGGCTGCTTCCACTCCTTGTTAGTAGTTCTCTGGCAGGTATCCCATGACTCTGGCCATCTCCAACAACTTGGGGTCTTTCAGACAATGCAGGCTTGACCTTCACAGCTTCATGCAGTGTCTTCTCTGGACCTCCATGCCTGGCCTTAGTGGCTTTCCTTAGCTACAGTGGGAGATTCCATAACCTCTTTCTTATATCCTTGATTCTAAAGCCAGAACTATGTGGCCAAAGCTGCCAAGTTCTGTTGTTTGCTAGGGGTGGAACACGTTTCAAATACCTTTTTACCAACTTTCTGTTTTCAATTGTTTTTTTTTTTTTCCCAGTAAATAAGTTTGGATGTCCTGAAACTTGATCTGTAGATCAAACTAGCCTCAAACTCAGAGGTCTGACTATCTCTCCCTCTTGAGTACTGGAAAAAAAAGGCATTACATCACTACACCCAACCCTAAGGTGTTTTTAATTTTTGAGATAGGGTTTCTCTAGCTTTTTTGGTTCGGGTACTGGAACTAACTCTTGTAGACCAAGCTGGCCTCGAACTCACAGAGATCCGCCTGCCTCTGCCTCCTGAGTGCTGGGATTAAAGGCGTGCACCACTACCGCCGGCTCCCTAAGCTTTTTTTTTTAAATTCCTTTCCACACATTAGAAGCTTAACTGAGTGGGATTTTGCCTTGAGATTACCATTCATCTTTATTCCACCTGGTAGCAGGCTGTTTTTTGTCTTTTTCTCCTTTTAAATATGTTTATCTCTGAGCACAATACTTAACTCTATTATACTTTCTGGCGGTGCCTTCTTTTTTCTTTTATCCTCAGACTGTATATTTTGTACTTTTTCTTACTCAGTCCTTCTTTTCATTATAGATCTGCCTAAGACTGTCCACTAATACCATGCAACACAGTCAAGATGAGGCCGTTTTGAAATCGCCTCTGCGAGGGACATTAATCCAAAACTCTTCAGTTTACCTCAAGCAGATTTTTTTTTGGAAAAGGGCAAAAAGCAGCCACATTATTTGCCAAGATACCACAAAATAATGACCTGTAGGCCACTTAACTAATGTTACTCTTCTCTGAAATCTCTTGAGCCCAGCCTTCACAATCGATTGCTCTCAGCACCACCGTCTTTCACATTTCTACTAGGATGGCCCATTTAGCCCCACTTAAAGTGTTACTGCTTTCCCAATCCAAAGTCCCAGAGTCCACGTTTTGCCAACAGGAAACACGGTCCAGCTTATCACAGCAATACCCCAGTCCCTGGTACCAACGCCTGTCTTAGTTAGGGTTTCTATTGCTGTGAAGAGACACCATGACTGGCAACTCCTATAATGGAAAATATTTAGTTGGGATTGGCTTCCAGTTCTAGAGGTTACTAGGGTGGGAAGCATGGTGGCAACAGGCAGGCATGGTACTAGCGAGGTAGTTGAGAGTTCTACATCTATATTGGCAGTCAGCAGGAAGAGTGACATCAGAAACCTCAAAGCCCACCCCAGCACATACTTCCTCCAAGGACTCTGCTTCTCCTAATAGTGCCACTCTCTGCTGTTCAAACATTTAAACCTATGAGCCAAGGAGAACAATTCCTTTTTTTTTTTTAAAGTTATTTAGTTTTTATTTTACGTGCATTAGTGTTTTAACTTGCATGTGCGAAGGTGTCAGAACTTGTGGTGTTGTAGTTCCAGACAGTGGTGAGCTGCCATGTGGATGCTGGGAATTATACCCAGGTCCTCTGAAAAGCAACCAGTGTTTTTAACCACCAAGCCATCTCTCCAGCCCCTGACAATTCTTCAAACCAGCATTTAATGACCTTTGTTATTTTAGGACATGCTGACTACTATTTCCTTTATGTATGCTGTGAGATTTGCTTTCTTCCTGTATATTTAGTGTGCCTTAGTCTTTGAACTGAGTTCTCTTCAGTATTCTTAAATGTCTGCATTTCTATTAATCTATTGAGGTTGCAGAATTCTTGAAGCTGTGTTTACTGTCTTTAAGTCTGGCATCATACCTAACATGCGAAGCACTGGATTATATCCCAGCACTCCATGGGACGGGGTGTGGTCCTATATACATGCCCATGATCCTAGCGCTAGAGAGGAGGGAGGAGAGGATAAGACTATAAACTTGGCCGATAGAGAGTTTCATGACAGCCTAGACTATGTAAAACAAAGGTTATAATTTGGAGATTTGTCTTACCTCGTTTATTTCTTTATATATTCTTGCTAGTGTCTTAGTTTAGTTTATATATTCATTTGAATCATTTTACTCTTTCTATGTCCTCTTTTATTCCCATTTTCTTTTTCTTTCCTTTCCCATGTTCATCCATTGTGCTGTTAGGATTGGAAAGTAAGAGAGCTTTAGATTTCATATATTGTCAAAAAAATGAAGGAAAAACTTGTGAAACAAGTGGGTCTCCAATGGATACCAAAGTTACCACCTCCGGGCCTCAATAGAGAAATCTGGCTGCCTTTGTAGAACTGAAGAGATTGTCAATGTTGTTACCTTAATAGTATATTTTATTAGTTTTATTTAAAATGTGGAGTGAAACGGTTAATGTTATTTCAAAGAAAAAACAATCTTTGTAAAACCAATCAAATCAAAAGATAAGAGAAGTTGCAGCAGCATTGTAACATTCCTAGCTTTGAATGTGTGCAGGGCTTAGAGCCTTTCATCTCTGCAATGAACAGCATTGCTCTAAACTTCGCTTCAGTGCAGAGAATGCACCGATGAGCTTGCTGCCCAGCCAAAACTGCTGCTTACTGCACTGAAGTCTTTGCCTTGCACATATACAGCATCTCCAGATGACCACAGAGCCCTACGAAGTATTCCGAGAAACATTTGAGAAAATTGCCAGATAAATTGTGTAGAACTAACTAGAAGGAAAACCACCTGAAAGAAAAAATGACTGAAGTTGCCACCTGGAGATTGACAGGATGAGAAGATTTGAAGTTTATGAAGAAAGATTTCCACAAGAAAATAGGAAAAGACAAAGTAGTGATGTCTGATCCGGCAGTGCTTTTCTATTGCATTAGTTAAATAATAGATCGGATATTGAGAAAGCACTTGAACGCCCTTTCTTTCACTTTCTTTTCCTAGCAATTCCTATATATTGGGTTTTACTTTTTTACTTTGGTATTTCCCCCCTCTTTCAGAGCCCTCCAAACCCACCTGTATCACCAGGAAAGCCTGCCAGTGATGTCAGCAACAATAACAATGTGACCTACAGGTAAGAACTTCAGTTTGTTCATTGTGTTTTACTGAGAAAGCAAGTCTCTGCTTAGTCTTGGCACACAATTGTAAATGCTTAAGCAGCGGTAAATAACTCAGGTCATAGTTGCTTTTCTACTTCCCCTTTTTATTATGTATTGCCTTTGATAATTTATTAGAATTTTTCTTTTGTTAAATTTTTTTTCTTTGCTTTTTCAATATTTAGGATTAAATCTAGAGGCCACCGCTCCCCAAAACCCTACATGTTTCTTTAAGAATATGTCATTAATAGGTTTTAGCAGTTGAGAACTGCTTTGGTCCTTGATAAGAATATGCCATTGCCTGTATTCAGTCTTTAGGTAACTAATAACAGTGGAATATGGGCAAAGACTCTGCTGCTATGTTAACTGGCATTCATTCTTGTGTATGAACTGTGGCTTCAAGCATAGGGTATAAACCCCATATCTTACCCTTTTCCCACCATGGACCACTGTTTTTCCTGTTTCTGTGGGTTCCCCTTTGGATCACATAGTCATTGACTGTACATGTATCTGTTTCATAGAAATGCAGGCACGGTACGACAAATGCTGGAGTCGAAAAGAAATGTTAGTGAGGGTCCACCGCCATCCTTTCAAACTCCTGTGAATACAGGTAACTTCTTTAAATACCAAAAAATACATTTTCTTGGACCCTAACATCTTTGGTTCTCTTCGAAAACAGGACACCTTGGTATAAATATGAATATATTTCAAAAAAATTGAGGATTATAAGTAAGTAGTACACATGAAAAGAGAGACGCTGAAATTCCTAGTCTAGTATTTCTCAGGTCTCTCTTCTCTAGGGCCTTTACAGGCTCAGGGAATGGCTAAGTACTCCAGAGAATTTTCGAGTTAAACTAATTGGTACTAAAAATTGAGTTAAAATAAAAATGTAAGGACTTTTTTCACTTAAAATTAATAATAAGCCCAGAGGCAGGCGGATCTCTGAGTTTAAGACCAGCATGGTGTATGTAGTGAATTCTAAGGCAGCCAGGGCTACATAGTGAGCCCTTGTCTTGAGTAATCAAAAACCACACAGAAGTGAATGATAATAATCCTATCATGTGCATAGAAACTTTTTTTTTTTTTGGTTTTTTCGAGACAGGGTTTCTCTGTGGCTTTGGAGCCTGTCCTGGAACTCGCTCTGTAGACCAGGCTGGTCTCGAATAGAAACTTTTTTAAAATAGAAAATAATTGTACTTTAAAAAAAAAAAATCAGTTAAAGAGCTAAGATCTGAGTTTATTTCACAGAGCCCGCAGTAAATAGATAAGACAGACAGAGGCAGCCACCTCACTTGGCTGTCTCAGTGTTAGAGAGGGGAGCAGACTCTGGCCAGCCAGCCTACATGGTGAGCTCCAGGCCAGTGAGCGACCCTGTCTCAACCCAGTAAGAAAAGGGAGATGGAGAGTGGTGCCATCAAGATGTAGAAGATTGCACGGGAAAGTGCCAGTGACTCAGTGACAGATACCAAGAGAAAGGGGATTGGCACTGGAGGAGTGACACTTAACACATTCATGTACACACATGAGCATGCAAGTACATATAAATATCCCCCAAAACAGTGATGTGTTGCTTTTTACATATTTCTTTAAAATCTTGGTTAAGTTTCTGTGGAACTAGATAGCTGGACACTGCCCACTGATGGTGGTTTCCGTGGAACTAGATAGCTGGACACTGCCCACTGATGGTGGTTTCCGTGGAACTAGATAGCTGGACACTGCCCACTGATGGTGGTTTCTGTGGGACTAATGCAGAGCAGACTCAAATCATAGGCTTTTCTCATTGTTTTTCTCTGTCACTCTTTCAAGAAAATAGGTCCTGCTAGGTCTTGTAGTGCAGACCTGTAATTCCAGAACTCAACAGGCTATGGCAGGTAGATTATAATTCAAGGCCAGTGTATGATTTTACTGGAGGGTAGAACATAATAGAAATGGTAGCTTTTACTACTACTTTAGTGAAATTTCCTTTTTTCAATACTGTAATAAAGTATGTGTTAGTGAAGACAGTGTGACAGGAGCGGTTGGCACCTCTGTTCTACCTTGGATTTTGTAGTTTTCTCCTTATCCGTGGTGTCGTTTTCCATTGTTTCTTACCACGGTCTATTAATATTGCATGGAGCATTCCACTAATCATTTGTCTTTTATTGTGATAATTGTTTTATTAGGTATTACTGTTTTTTTATTATGCCCAATTTCCAAGTAAACTTAACGTAAGGATATGTGTACAGTCGTGTACCACATAATGACATTTCAGTGAGTTGCAAATCAGTTTAAAACAGTTATCTGGGGAGACAGCAACAGAGTTGAGACCATAGCTGTTTACTATAATAGCTTAGCATGTTCCTCCTGAGTATGCTATGTTCATGTGAGCAGAGCTGCAGCATTGTGAGCTGTACAGACTGTAGAAAATAAAACTGTGTAGGGTACCCAGTGACAACTGTTACCCATGGTTTATTGAAACTGATACCAATTTTATGCTTGTAGTAGCTGCATCTCTTTTATATTTACTGTCTCGTTTGACACATTGAGTGGTTGATCTATCCCAGGTAGATTTGTACAGTCTTGTGATCATACAACATTGGAATGATGTAATGACGCATTTCTCAAAACATACTCATGTTGTTAAGGGTTACGCGGCTGCATAGGACAAAGCGCGGTGTGTATAAGGTTCTTTGTTGTCTGCCTTATGTATCACTGGGACTCTTAGCATAAAGGATGTTAATGTCCGCAGATATGGACTTGCTGAACTAAGTAAGCCAACAGGCATTCACCTTTTGTCCAGAAAGTGCAAAAGTCAAATGTCTCATTACTATTAGGAAAACAGCTTTGACATTGTAACTTATTGCAAAGTTCCCAGGACACTATAGGTATCTCTCTGCACTCACTGAGAATTCCTGCTCTGGGGTACCTATGATTTTAGAAAGACTAGATATTAGATATCTCAGTAGTCAATTAAGTTACATTTTAAGCCTGTGTCAGTGAGACTAAACCTTAGTAGTTGAATCGTAAGCTACTGTAAATCTCTGGTTTAGGACTTACTCTTCCCTCTTTGGTATGTGTGTGTGTTGTTTCTTAATTGATCTCCACTTTCTACTCAGTGCTTTCCTCTCTATCAGTAGTGTTTCTAGACTCTTCTCTAAGGGTCACTCCTCCCAGAGTGAGTTCTTTTTCAAGGATCTCAGTAAGGATATGTAGGAGTCCTCCAGGTCCAGTGGTGAATAGTGCCATCAGCTTCACTAACTAATGCCAGTGCTTTCCAGACTTCCTACCTCAGCTAGGTACTGTCGATGTTTTAGGCATTAATAATGTTTAGAATGAGGTTTTAAAAATACTTACATAGTTTTACTTAGTTTTCAGTATTTTTTTAGTTGTTTTTCCAGTTAGTTCCTCCGAAGTAAACATTGTAATTTTCAAGAGCTGTTTTGATATTGAGATAATAATCTTATATAGTAACATTAAATTATGTGGCGTTCCATAAAGACACCAAGTGTACACAGAAGTGCTCCTAAACATTCCAGGGTTTTCAAACTTAAACCTGGAAACTTCTTTGTGGCGGCTTTTCTCTAAAATATATTCAACTTGTGACTTATCTTTTGCTGATAATTTAAGATAGTTATCTAGACTCAGACTTGTGTTTTCTCTGTAGTGTCGTCAGCCAGTCTTGTCACTCCTCCGGCGATTGTCAGTAGTCAGCCTAAACTGCAGCCTTCGGCGACCTCAGGTTCTCTGCCAGCAGCATCTCTTCTTCCTGCTCCCAACACAGCCACAGTCGTTGCCACTACTCAGGTGCCTAGTGGAAACCCTCAGCCTACAATCTCCCTGCAGCCCCTACCAGTGATTCTGCATGTCCCTGTTGCCGTATCCTCTCAGCCTCAGCTCCTGCAAAGCCATCCAGGGACTATCGTGACGAATCAACCATCTGGCAACGTTGAATTCATATCTGTGCAAAGCCCACCAACAGTGAGCGGGCTTACCAAAAATCCAGTATCCTTGCCGCCCTTGCCAAACCCCACCAAACCAAACATTCCGTCAGTGCCCAGTTCTAGTATTCAGAGGAACTCTTCTGCCAGTGCTGCACCCTTGGGGACAACCCTCGCTGTGCAGGCCGTTCCCACTGCACATTCTATTGTGCAGGCCACAAGGACTTCTTTACCCACAGTAGGCCCATCAGGACTTTATAGCTCCTCTAACAATCGAGGCCCAATACAGATGAAAATCCCAATATCTGCTTTTAGCACTTCATCTTCTGCAGAACAAAATAGCTCTGCCAACCCGCGAACCGGTAAGTTGCTTTGCTTAGTACCAGAAACAAAAGCACATTGATGGTCATTCAGTCATTAAGCTCTTCCTAACTTCATTGGAAAAATGGAGTAAATAGAATTGATTATTTAAATAGGCTTGATTATTTTTAGAAATTTTCTGAATACCTAATGTAAAATGATGAGGTTAAAGTAGATAGAGTGTGAGAAGTTTATTTCACTGTGCTTTCTTAGTGAGTCATATTTGTATAGCTTTATGGGATCTGTCACAATTATTTGATCCACGTACATTGCATGTAATAGTCAGTTCAGAATGCTGGACTCTTTATGAGTCCAATTCAAGAAATGAATTTTAGTATTTCGAGACTTTAATGTTTTTTCTTTTGTCATAGATGATTTCAGTCAAGTAGTTAGTTTCTGTCCTGTGCCCTAAGAAGCAGAACTAAATCCTCTTGCCTTACTGTTTCAGTGCCCTTACACTTGCATCTCTCCGCCCCTTTGCTCTTCCCAGGGAGAAAGAAATTTTGGTTGAGAAATTAGCATTTCTATTTTATTTTTTAGTAATTTGTTATTTAGTAATTTTGGTGAGGTTTTTTTTTTTTTTTTTTTTTTGTTATTTTGTCAGTTTTTTGTGTTTTGTTTGTTGGTTGTTTTCTTCCCTGGAGCTAAGGACAGAACCCAGGTCCTTGTGCTTGCTAGGCAAGCACTCTGCCCCAGAGCTCGAGCCCCACCCCACATTGGTGAGGTTTTATATAGATTTGTAGTTTGCATTGTGTGTTTCTATTTGTTTTTAATGGTAGATTAGGTGGACCAGGACAGTTGAGTATCTAATTTTAGAAGTTTATTTTAAGAGAGAATTAAAAACTATTTATCACCAGGAGATGATGGCACATGCCTTTAATCTCAGCACTTGGGAGGCAGAGGACAGGTGGGCAGATCTCTGTGAGTTCAAGGCCAGCCTGATCTACAGAGTGAGTTTTTGGACAGCTAGTACTACACAGAGAAACCCTTTCTCAAAACAAACAAACAAGCAAAAAAACCAAAACCCCACAACAACAACAACAGTAAACCAGTAATCTTCTCCCCAGTGGGGAACACACTGTGCATTCAGCACCCAGCGTCTTCTAAAGCTGAACAATTAAAAAAAATAGCTCTTTGCTTGCAAAAATGTTTGACTGATTATTTTCTGTCATTTTCCATAAGACATATTGCCTAATTGTATTTTTCTTCAAAATATAAGATGAATTTGACTGCAAATTTATTTAAAATTGTACAATTCTTGTTGTGGCTGACCTTGATCAGACTGTCCTCAGATGTGCCTGCCTTCCCGTCCTAAGTGCTGGGGTAAAGGTGTGTGCACCAGGCCCGGCCACAGAGCCTTGGCCGACGCTTGCTTTGCTTTGCTAAGAGGGATGTTTGCTGTGAGTCATGTCGGAGGACAAACAAGATTCACTTCATTGTCTTTCTCATTTCTTTTCACAGAATGTTTCGTATTTTTAATATGTCAGATGATTTATAATGCACTTTATTTTATGTGATATTTGTACAGGATAAATATGAAATTTTGAAACAAAGTTGATTTTTTTTTAATGATCGTCTGGTCTATTTTTTATAGAACTTTACTGTGAGACCGTGGCCTGTAAAGAAAATTAGAATGTGTGCTTAATGTTATGAATGCTTGTACCTTAAATATATGCAATTCAGATTATAATTTCATTAACATGTTCCCTTTAACGGTTTGTAAGCATTAGATAAGGGCTTGTTATAGAATTATGTAGCTGATGAGCTGTTTTAATAACAATGAGTCATTTTGTTTCATTTTTATGTAAGATTAATACTTCCCATAATTACTAATTACCATAGAATTCTGTTTTTGAGATATATTTATGCTTAAATGTTTTTATTTTAGCATTTAATATATTCATATAACTATATATAAAGTACTAAAGTTACCTTCATTTGAAATCACATTTCATTTGTTCTTACAGATGAATTACTGGCTGTTACTAATGAGTATTAGTGGTGTTTCCACAATTAACTGGAAAGTGATTATGTAAGAACATGTAGTTTAAACTGGGTGGTGGTTGTGCACGCCTTTAATCCCAGCACTTGGGAGGCAGATGCAAGTGGATCTCTCAGTTTGAAGGCAGCCTGGTCTACAGAGAGAGCTCCAGGACAGATAAGGCCACACAGAGAAACTCATTTCAAAAAACCAAAATAAACAAAAAGAACACCAAAAACCATATTCTTTGACCATGCCTAAATTCAGAGATTATACTCATATACTCATTATAAATCATACTCATAATTTAAGCTGGAATCATGATATTATGTACACAGTCTTCTGTCTGCATGTATGCTTGGATGCCAGAAGAGGGCACCAGATCTCATTACAGATGGTTGTGAGCCACCATGTGGTTGCTGGGAATGGAACTCAGGACTCCTGGAATAACAGCCAATGCTCTTAACCTCTGAGCCACCTCTCCAGCCCCCTAAACATCTTTCATTCCAAAATATGGGAAGACTAGAATTTAGATATCACTCAGCAGTTACTTCTTCACCCATCATGTCCTTTGAGTTTCTGCAAGCATCCCATTTCTCCTCATACGGTTATCCAGACCTTTAATAGAATACTACCAGTTTGTACCTTGAGGACTATGGAATAGAGAGATGGCTCAACAGTTAAGAGCACTTGCTGCTCTTCCAGAGGTTCTGGGTTCAGTTCTAAGCACCCATATTGCAAAACTAATAACTATTTGTAATTCCAGCTCCGGAAGATTGAACACCCTCTTATGACCTTCAGAGGCATCTGCATACTTGTGATATAATATACAGACATTTAGGACAGACAGTCAGACATTCAGACACATGCACATGAAAAATAGAAATGGTTCTTAAAAACGACCAACTGATGTTAAATAACATAATCCATCAAGCAGGTAACAAGTGTCCTGCATGATAGGAAGATTTTAAGCCATAATTTGATTTCGTATCCTAGTTAATTTTGTTGATTGATAGATGGTTTTTAACTTCCTACTTTGAGAAGTAACTCAGGTAAAGAGTAGAAGGTGAAAAATGCTCTGAGATTGAAGAATGCTGCATTAAAAATTGAGGGAATTTGCTGAGCTGCAGTGGCCGTTATTCCCAGCACTTGGGAGGCAGAGGCAGGTGGATCTCTGTGAGTTCAAGGCCAGCCTGGTCTACAAGAGTGAGTTCTAGGGCAGCCAGGGCTTCACAGAGAAACTCTGTCTTGGGAAAAAAACAAACAAAACCCAGAACCAAACCAAAATAAAACAACAAATTGGGGGAATTTTTAGCCTGTAGTTTAAAGGACAGAGCATATTGCAAATCTAGAGAAAGGTTACAGTTTTGTGAGTAATTAATTTATCCTTAGAAAGTTATGCCAAGAATAGAATCATTCTGGATAACAAAACAGCATATGCACACATACATACACACACACACATACACATGCATGCACATATACACACATACATACATTTAATGTGTATGCAAAAAAACTAATGATGCTTTTGTAATATTGCCTAGTTATATTCTTTGACAGGTAAAACTTTTATGATAAAAGTCTTTAAGGAAATAATACAAATATATTATATATTAATATATATTACATAGAATATATGTTCTGTATATATAGTTTTTGAAACAAGGTCTTAATATAATTCTGGCAGGCCTAGAGTTTGCTGTGTACGTCAGGCCTCTGTCTCACAGAGCTCTGCCTGCCTCTGCTTTCCAAGAGCTGGGATTAAAGATGCATACCACTACATCCTGCCAAATTAAAAATATATTTTAAAAAGTAAGTTTATATTAACATATTATTTCTCCAAAAATAAAATTAAAGCAAGATTGAAAACATTAGTTTCCTGTCCTTGGATTTTAACATGTGGAGTTTTTCTTAATCAATTCTTTATATAAGTATTTTTTATATATATATATATATATATATATATATGAGAGAGAGAGAGAGTTATATATGTAATATAGACAGTTTTATCAGCTTTTTGCACAAATGATCTTCTCTGTATATGTTTTGAGGGTTTGGAATATGGGGATGCCATATTTTGAGCAGGAAGTTGTTGGCCTCCAGAAAAAGGATGGGATGCTGTGACACAAGGCACTCTTGACAATGGTCAGAGCACGGAAGTGAAGAACTGTGGTCGGTGGACGAGATAGTTCCTCTTCTGTCTGCTAGAGCCTGGGCAGGGATACCCTTGCTTTTCAGTTTTCATAACAGAACAATTTTCCGATGGAAACCTAATGCAAGTTAAATGAAAATGAATTCAGGAACGTAATATGGGTGTGTGGGTGATACAATAAATTGCTCAAGCATGAGGACCCCAGTTCAGAGCCCCGACTCTTACACCAAAGTCAGGTCTGGCTGTGGAATCTAAAGCCAGTGTAGGGGTGCGGATATGGGGAGATTCCTGGAGCTCGTTGTCCAACCACCCTGGCCAAATCAATGAACTCTAGGTTCACGGACAGACTACCTAAAAGTCTAAGGTGGCAGCTGACGATGGAGACAGCTGGTGTCGTCCTCTTGCCTCCAGCCACAGCCATGAACAAGCAGATGCTCCTGCACAAGGCACACAAAAGAAAGGAAATCTGTACTTGAACTGATATGTGCATTTGTTTCTCATGGTTGTTGTGACTTCTGTAATGAATGTATTATGGACATTTTCAGTCTTAGATTTTCCCCAAAGATTTTCAAATCTTGTGAAAGAATGATGTTTCACTCAACTGTTTTCTCATCTGTGTTGTACTAACGTTCAGTTTCATCTCTCGGGCCTTCTTTGGGGTAGTTTAAGTTGCCAGGTAATGAGTGTATGAAACTTCAACATTTTTAACATTATAATATGACCATGAAAATAGTTGGAGAAGAATATAGAAATTACTGTGTGTGTGTGTGTGTGTGTGTGTGTGTGTGTGTAAAGCATACAGTAAAGAAATTACTCTGTGTAAAGCAACCCTTTACATATTATACATGTTAAGTTTCCGTTTTTGTTTAATTCTCAGAAAATCAAACAAACAAAACAGTAGATTCTTCTGTTAATAAGAAAATGGCAGACAGCACATCACAGGTAAGGTTGTTTCCCTTTCCCTCAGAGTCACATGACAAGCAACAGAAAGTGTCATTTTCCTTACATCTGCAGGGTTTTGTTTTGTTTTTGAGACCAGATCTTGTGTAGCCCAGTCTAGTCTCACTCAGCTCACTGAATAGAAGTTCTCTGTTCCTTTTCCTTCTTTTCTGAGGGAGAGGTTTGTTGTACTTAAAAGTTTTTGTTTAGAGGATTTTAATAAAATTAGCATTTGGACGAACTGTCTATGTAGCCTGTCTTAGTGCTCCTCTTCAGCATAAAATTGTCCTGTTTGTAGTCCACGCTCTCATGCCCTGGTTGTCCTGTTTGTAGTCCACGCTCTCATGCCCTGGTTGTCCTGTTTGTAGTCCACGCTCTCATGCCCTGGTTGGTTTTCAGCAGTGTCACTGCTACCCCATTACGTAGCCTTCAGTTTCAACCTGAGTTTCACAAATTCCCTAATTATTTCGAGTCCATCTCAAGATGCCATGTCTCAACAAATTATGATTATCATTACCATATTTCATATGTGATGTTAAGCATTTTGTACATACATTTGGATTAATCTTTATAATTACATGTCTAAAGAGATTAATTCACATAGCTCAGGAGTTGGAATGAGAACTGCAGCTATTTGTCTGATGCTGTCTCTGCAGCCAGTACTGTTTTCCCTTCTTCTGCTACTGTTGCTTTTGTTTTTATTTTTAATCTTTATTGTCTTATAATGATTTTGGACACTGTACTGAGTTTGGTTAAATCAGATATCTAATGACATAGCCATGTGTTTTGTAAGGAAAAATATTTTAATTCTTTGCAGCCTCTCTGTAACTGTAGTCCTTAGCGTTTTGGTATATTCATAATTGATCACTTAGGGTAAGGTTGACTGATGTTTCCATTGTCAGATAATGGCACCTACAGCAACTCTGCACAACAGATAGCTTTATTTGTTAAAAACAAAAAACCGTAGATGGAAGTTTCTGTCCTGCTCGGTCCCACAGCTGTTCAGTCTCAACAAAATACATAGAGGCTTTTGTTAGTTAAAAACTGGTTGGCCTATTAGCTCAGGCTTATTATTAACTAGCTCTTACAACTTAGTCACGTGGCTTGGTACCTTTTATCAGTGAGGCTTTCTCATCTTGATTCCTCTGTGTCTGGTTGATGACTGCAGACTGAGTTTTTCCTGTTCCCAGAATTCTTTATAGTCAAGTCTCCCTGCCTATACTTCTGCCTGGCTATTGGACCAATCAGTGTTTTATTAAACCAAAACAAGTGACAAATCTTTACAGGTACAAGAGCATTATTCCACAATATAAAACTATTAGAATTTTGTTAGAAAGTATTTGATAATTACATTGTATTGCAATAATTAGTGTTTGTTTATTTATTTGTTTGTTTGTTATGTGTTGGAACTTGTGCTCATGTGCCAAAATGTGCAAGCCGGGGTCAGAGGACAACCTGTGGGAGGGAGTTGGTTCTTTCCTACCACCTTGTGAATTCCAGAGCTCAAACTTAGGTCAGGCTTGGGAGTGAGTGCCTTTACCCACTGAGACATTTGCCAGCCCTGGGAGTTTTAGCTCACAGCTGTGTTGTGCTGTTGACGTCAAACTGTTGAGATAAAGGCATTTAGGAGCCTAGCTTGAACTAGGCCCTTCACCCCCTTTGCCTTTAATGGTTACCACACAATTATTTAGTATTTGCCAGTTGTGTCACAGGATCAACCAAGTTTTGTTTTTCAGAGTGGGAAAGCTTCTGGCAATGACTCAAGCAGTGTCATCGACCTCACAATGGACGATGAGGAGAGTGGGACTACACAAGGTACCGAGAGACTCTGGGGAGAAAGGCTGTAATGCCATGTCCTCTTGTAATGTTGGGTGATGTTTTGTGAAGTAGAGTTGATGCATCTGTTTCCCTTTCAGAATGAGAGTATTTAAAGGTAGAATTAAGAATCAGCAGTCAGATCCTGAATGAAGATAAACAGGTTATAGAGAAAAGCAGCAGAGAGCATGCTCACTTATGAAGCGCCTTTGCTCACCCCGTTGCTCTTGCTAATGAAGCCTTGGCCTCAATCTAGAGTTGAAGGGACTTTGTAGACTTAGGCAGCAGCAGAGTCAGCCAGAGACCCAGGGATCAAGTCTGGCTCTTTGGTGGCTTGCCCTCTTGATTTCTCTCCCTCTCCTGAACTGATACTAAGCCATAGTCTGCACTCTCGCACTAATGTTACTTGGTTAGTAATTCTAATTCGAAAAGTCCTGAGTTAAAATTCAGTGGATTAGCCAGGCATGGTGGCACACACTCTTAATCCCAGCACATGGAGCAAGGGGTGGATCTTTGTGACTTGTGACTAGCCTGGTCTACGAAGTAAGTTCCAGGACAGCCAGGACTTTCACAGAGAAACCCTGTCTTGAACCCCTTTCCTCCCCCTATTCAATGGTTTATTTTTATTATTAATTTACTCTGATCTTGCCTTTAGTGTCGATTTATGATGTAAATCTCCATTCATAATTCAAAATGTAGTGTTTCTCAGACTTCCTTGGCTATTAGAGTATCCTTGTTCACAGACATGTGTAAAACCATGATGCTAATGCTAATTGTTTTGTTATTGTTTGGTTGTTTGATTTTTTTTTTTTTAATTTGAGACATATTTGTGTAACCTTGACTGTCCAGGAACTTAATCTCTTAGACTAGGCTGGACTCAGACTCACAGAGATCCTCCTGCCTCTGCCTCCCAAGTGCTGGGATTAAAGGTGTATGCCACCACCGCCTGGCAATAATTGTTTTTATCTTGAAGTCAATGAATTTAATAAAAGTTTGACAAAGTTTTATTTTACGATATAAGACAGTTGCTTTGGGAGAAATAAAATTAAATGTAGTTAAATCACTGTAGAGCCACGTAAAGCTGAGGTGCAGTTGAGATATTTCTCTTGTCCTCCATTGAGGCTGGCCTGGTGCTGGTGTGATGATGGCACTTGCAACGCTAATTTTAAGTCTTTCGAATTGTCATTTTAACTGTTTTTTTTCGTTGTTGTTTTTTTATTTTTACTTTTCTCGATAGATGGATTTGACTTTCAGGAATTCTTAAAGCACAAAAATAAACACAGAAGCAGCATACTGGGCGGTGGAACTGGCCATGAGTTCCAGGCATCCTGCCTGCTAGTATGCTAGCCTCTTGGGGCTGCTTTCATTGCCTCACGTTTGGGTCATCTTAATTCTCCCAATCTAAAGTACATTGTTCTATTGAGACAAGCTGAATAAACCACAATTATGGATGATGTTTTAATGAGAAATTCCACAGTATGGAAATGAATGAGGCTCATCTTCTGTAGAAAACAGCTGATGTTCTTCCCAGCCCATCTGAGTGTTCTTCTCATATTAGGTTTGACTGAGATATAGACAGCTATTTTGTAGGCCATCAGAGATCCTTTTTAATATTTTAAGCCTTTGTACTTTAAGAAATAAATAGTGCTGATGACTGCCATTTACATACGAATCTAAACAAATGTGAGCAATTAAAACTGAAAGTCAGGGGAAGCCATGAGTTCACAGTATTTGTCTAGAAGAATGTCTTTGATACAGGAGTACAAATGCCTTCAAGCATTTTAACAATGAAGGTATTCTAGTCAGTATGATATATTAAATCTAGAAGGTTCTTGCATTGAAAAATGAAATTAATTATCCCTCTAAAAGTGTGAACTGGAATCTGCTAATCAGCAAAAATCTACATAATGAGAACAGAAAGTAGTTTCTGAAGAGGGAAATTTATATGTAGATGACAAGCAAAGAAGTTTTTGAGTTAAAAGTCAGGCCTGTGGTGCCTTGTGGTGCCTGTCATCAGCCACATGTTTTATGTTTTCATTAGCAGAGCCCAAGAAGCTGAGTCATCCTGCGCCAGCCATGAGCACTTCTCAGCCCATGCCTCGACCACTGCAGCCTATTCAGCCAGCACCACCTGCTCAGCCGTCTGGAGTGCCGACAAGTGGGCCGTCTCAGACGACCATCCACTTACTGCCTACAGGTGAGCTGCCGAGTCACCCAGCAGAACCTTAGTTTGTGTATAAGACACTGGTTAAGGAATCCTGGGAAGAATTCAATAAAATCTTAAGAACAATGCTTCTTACTTTAAAGAGAATATTTGTGATCTAGCTTTGCTCACTGCCCTTAGGAGCAGCGCAGGTAGAGAATAATTATGACACTTTTCTGTGTCCTTGTCCTCAGCTGCTCAGAAGAGCAGAGAAAATTTACCTCTCTGGAAAAGCTACTTGTAATGATTTTTTTCTGAATATAACCAAGGAATTTCAGTGATGGTCATATATTTGCATGCATACTTATACACACACACACACGTACGTATGTATGTATGTATGTATGTGTGTATGTGTGTATGTGTGTATGTATGTAAATAACCTGGGGTCTTAAGCTTGCTATATAAGCAATCTGCCACTGAGGCAGGGTCTGAGGCTAGTTTTAACCAACCTACATACTATCAAGAAGTCCATGTAAGATTTTGCCTGCTACATTTCAGGAGTATGTAGCCTATTTCAAAGTCAACCAAAGCGTATGGCTTCTTCCAGGTTAGGTTATTGCTCAGAGATTTGTCTGCAGAGTGCTTCCATAAGCACTCCACTGAGTAAGGATGACTGAGCTAAATGTCATTTCAGCCGTGAAAGTCAGAGTGCTGGAATAATTAGTGAATAAATGGGATATTTTCTAGTGGTTCAGTGTGGCCTGTGAATGCTGGTTAGTGTGTACTGTGCATCTTTTCCCTTTCAGAGTCTTGATGTCATGTCATATTCGTCACTTCAACTGCAGCCTGTTCTGCTGGCATTCTAGCCAAAAATACATGTTTATGTGACTATTTCTGGTCTAGATGTTTGTGTTGCTTTTTATATTTAATTGCTATTTTTCTGTCTAAATATAGGTACTATTGCATTCAACTCTTAGCAATCTGTGTCTCTTTAACTTTGATCCAAAGTGATATTGACAGTTGCCTATTTTACAGTGTGGAGTGAAGTGTCCTTACACAAGCAGATACATTGGCAGTTGTCATCAGATGAAGTAATTCAGTTCAAAAGGCTCTCACAAGAGAGTCAAGGCTTAGGAGCCGTGTGTGTGTGTGTGTGTGTGTGTGTGTGTGTGTGTGTGTACGCACATACACACACAAGCACTAGAGAGCATAACCCAGGCCCCCACATACTGCTAGGCAAGTATCACCACTTTTCTGAGAAGTCTTCAGTAAGGGAGTCTTTATATCATTGTTAAATATGTTTTTCTCCACATTGATTTTATTATAGAATTCATTGTCTCCACATGGAAGTAAATTTATTCTTTTCAGTTATGCTTGAACTCTAATTCAGAGTCATATTATCAAGAAAATATTAATACTTTAAAAAGTCACCATTTAGTGGCCTAGGGATTTGTCTCTGCTATAACAATTGTCTAGGATACATGAGGTCCTCAGCTTATCGCTAGTGCTACAAAAAATAAATAGGTAAACATTTAAATAAGCAAATAGAGCAGAGAATTTTGGAGAATAGAAATACGCAGTACAGAAAATAAATTCCCATTGTGGACATACATGGTGACATTGTCCCAGCTGCTTTGGAAGCAGGAGATCACCTGTGCCTAAAATACACCTGGGAAACATAGTGAGTGGAACTTCATCTCTTATAATGAATGAAAACTAGTTTGGGAGAGATGGTTCAGAGGTTAAGAATATTGGTTGTTTTCCCAGAGGATCTTGCATTGGGGCTCACAACTCGCTGTCACTGTAGTTCCAGGGGATCAGATGCCCTCTTCTGGCCTACTTCCAATACCAGGTACATAAGTGATCCACAGGCAAACACCATTTATAGAGATGAGAACGACCTCATTGTTGCAGCTTCTTCTTAAACTTCCTTTTTTATTTATTTTTTTCTTTCGTTTGAATAAGCACCTGCTAACATTGTTCAAGGACATGCTTCTAGAACATAGATTAAAGGAGAGACGTGCTGTGGAATAATCCTTCTGTACACTCTGTGAATATATGTTGCTAAGATTGGTTTAAAAACAAGCTGACTAGCCAGTAGCTGAATAGGATAAAGTGAGGCAGGAAAGCTGGGAGAGGAAAACTTAACCCACAGAGAAGGGATAAAATGTAAATTATCATGGCCAGCCAAATATATAGGTAGAATTTTTTTTTTTAAAGTAAATTGCAATACTGAGCCAGTTTTATGAACTGTAGAAATGCAGATTGAACATCAGGTAGAGCCACTTACTCTTGCAAGCTGCCAAGCGTGACAGCGTGACTTCAGTCTTTGGCTCCCGTATAGTGGAGGAGAGAACCACCGCCCCACAATTGTCATCTGATCATCACACTTGCACACAAAAAGGAAAATGTAAAAAGACATTCAACTTTTTTGTGTCAAGTTTATAAAATGCAGCTTGCAGTCAGGCTTTGATTTGGACAGTGGCATCCTCAGAAAAGAACTCAGGTGGAAGGGGAAAGAGTAGAAACAGACAAACAAACTCATCTTTTCCCAACTTCATCACACACAGCTTCAACAGTAGCCAGAGCAATGTCCATATGCCTATGCACTGGAGCAGGAACAGGAGCTAAATGACGTTATATGTTTACTAATAATTGGGTCAAGAATTTACATAAAAAGATAGAAGGCTGCCTCCTTCTAAGTTTCTAAAATAATACATGCTTATCTGCAAGCCGCCCAGCAAGTTTTCAGAAACATGGGTATATGGCTGATTCATAGTCTCTGGTGCTTTGAGGTGAGTGAAAAAAGACCAGGCCAGCAGAGTTGATAGTTGGCTTGATCAGGCAAGAGAGCCGGTCTGTCAGATAGAAACAGGCTTGGTGCAGGAGGAATGGAGAGGACTTCATCAGCCAGCCGTCTGTCTGTACAGTGCAGGCCATAGATGTGCTTGAAGAGCAGAAACCAAGCTAGGCCCTGGAACAACAGTCCCTCCTACAGATAACACAGTGTGGGGATGCTTCCCCACCCCCCCACCCCCCCAGTCTGAGGCCATACCCTCCTTTATGTAGTAGTATTGGATACAGCCTGTTCTTTGAGCTATGCTGGCTTGTTTGTCCTCAGTCTTCTGATTTGATGAGTTTGGCTGGGTGTTGGAGGATTGCTTCAGCTGAACTTGTTCCTTATTGCTAGGCGATGGCTTGTCCCTTGCTATAGTTAGCTCAGCTAGGCAGAGACACCTGAAGTGGGGAAATGCATGTATATGACCCAGGGGACTGGAGGAAGGGCTTGAGGTATGTGATCTGTACATGGTTCTGACAGCCTGTCCCCCATGGTCAAATTTTGTGTAATGGTAAATTTTATGCTGTCTTCTTACATAGAATTGACTAGATTCTTGCTATCTTTTGTTGATTTCTATTAGCTCCAACCACCGTGAATGTAACACATCGTCCAGTAACTCAGGTGACCACAAGACTCCCTATACCAAGAGCTCCCGCAAATCACCAGGTGGTTTATACAACTGTGCCAGCACCACCAGCTCAGGCTCCCCTGCGAGGAACCGTTATGCAGGCTCCTGCTGTTCGCCAGGTCAACCCTCAAAATAGTAAGGCTCTTTTTTCTACGTGGCTTTGAAGTGTGAGTACTGATCCATACTGACACTGGATTATCATACAAAGGGACACACTGAGCAATGCGCTTGTGTGGTATGGCTAGTAATGTTGTAGGGGACACACTGAGCAATGCACTGTGTGGTATGGCTAGTAACGTTGTAGGGGACACACTGAGCAATGCGCTTGTGTGGTGTAGTTAGTAACGGTGTAGGGGACACACTGAGCAATGCGCTTGTGTGGTATGTGGTTAGTAGTAATGCAGTACATTGGAAATTGCTGCTACTGGAGATTTTAAGTGATTTTATGGCAAAAATTAAAATGATGTGAGGTAATTAGTTGGACTTAGCCATTCCACCATGTATACATTTCTCAAAGCACCACAAGCATATAGTTGTATCTATTAAAATGGATTTTGAAAAATATTCTTTTTTTTTTCTCCCCTATTTATTTATTTAGAGACAGTCTTAGTATGTAACCCTGGCTGGCCTGGAACTCACAGAGCTTCACCTGCCTCTGCCTCATAAGTGCTAGGATTAAAGGTGTGTGTCACCACATCCAGCCCTTCTTATGATTAAAAGAAAGGAATTGGACATGTATCCTGTAGGATTTATATATAGCCTTTATATTGTCTTCGTTTAGCTTTGTTAATGGCCTATATTATAGCACCACATTTGATATTTACTAATGTTTTGAGACACGTTCTCCCTGTCTATCTTTGCCTGGGTCGAAGTTCGCTGTGCTGCACATGCTGACCTCAAACCCACCGAAGTCTGATCACTCCTGCCTCCTGCATGCTGAAGTTTAAAGGCACGTACTCTATGCCCTGCTCTTAATAATCACCATCTATCCAAATCGGAGTTGGAATGATAAGTTGTGACTTACCCAGAAAAGGGATGTCATGGCAAAAGGGTAATCTCTGTTGACAGTCTTAAGAGTCCGGAAGGCAGCTAAAGAAATTAAAGGAAGGAAACTGTCCCAGGAAATGTAGAGGTTATTTAAGCTGTGACTGTAGTCATTCTGTATTAGATACTGTGTACTCATAGCATAGAATATGTGTCTTAATAGTAGAATATAGCATAGGGAAAGATTTATAGTTAAAGCTTAAAAGCATGCACTTGGAAAGTGGAGGCAGGGGGATCAGGAGTCCAAGGTCATCTTTGGCTACATAATAATTTCAAGGCTAGCCTGGGCTACATGAGACCCTATGTCAAAAAGCCCAAATAAATAGACAAATAAGAATGCATAAAGTTTAAAGGAGTGACCTTTTCCACACTAGGATCTTTTTTGCCCTTCTTCTGCCTTTCCTTATACCTCCCTGTTTGTCTGTTGTCCTCGCTTTTCTTAATGCCATCAGTGGAGGCAGTTGTTTGATTGGGTCATGGATGAGTTCTGGAACAGCCAGGGAACCTGGCAATACTAACTTGGATCAAGTACTGAGTGTCTGGAGAAGACATGATTGGGAGAGTAGGTGACTCGAAATTCCCATTTGTTGACCCTGGGCAATGTCACAGCTGTTTTCCCAAGTGTGTCCTCAGCTGATTAGCCTTAGAGAGAGAAAATGAAGACCCCACTAACATAGGGGTAAGAAAAGATTTGTTTGTTCATGTGTGTATATGTGTCTATCTATCTGCACGGGCCAGAAAAAGATGTCAAATCACCTGGAACTACAGGAGCTACCTGATGTCAGTGCAAGGAGCCAAACTCAGGTCCTTTGCAAGAGCAAGCTGTTCGCCTAACAGCTGAGCCTTGTCTCTAGCCCCAAGGATGACTTTGATGACAGCTTCTGTCTGTGATCTTTTGAATCGTTGGCTCCAGTCTGGCTGTTGCCCACACCTGGAGAGCAGGGCCAGTGTTGTCGGGTTTTCATTTCTAGTAGTCCTTGTGAAGACTCCTGCATTTGTGTTGGTGGTGGTGGTCATGTTGCTGCATGCAGCTTGCAGTGCCACTTGAGAAGTATTTGTGAAATGCTTGAATTTATGATTTGTGTCTTCGTGGTCGAGTCACAGCTTGGCTGACTGGAGACAGTTGGAATCATTTTCCTCTTGAATTTTTTAAAAAGTTGCTTTAGCAGGCGGATCTCTGAGTTCGAGACCAGCCTGGTCTACAAGAGCTAGTTCCAGGACAGGCTCCAAAACCACAGAGAAACCCTGTCTCGAAAAAACAAAACAAAACAAACAAACAAAAAAAGTTGCTTTACTAATAATGTTTACAATGCTCCAACAAATTTACAGTAGAATTTTGATATTTCCTTTATATTCTGTTTTATTTTCTTTTCCAGGTGTTACAGTTCGAGTGCCTCAGACCACCACATACGTTGTGAACAACGGACTCACCCTGGGATCAGCAGGGCCTCAGCTCACGGTGCATCACCGGCCACCACAAGTGCATACTGTAAATATCAGTGCTTGCCTCAGACTTCCTCAGTGACTAAGCTGTCACCGCGTTCCAGACAGCCTTTTGATAGTTTCTCTACCTGTGTAGCTCTGGCTGTTGTACAACTCACTATGTAGTCCAGTCTGGCCTCGAACTCAGATCTGCCTGCTTCTGCCTTCTGCATCCTGAGATTAAAGTGGGTGCCAACATCACCTGGCTACCATTTCTTTTTTTAAAGTAGTATTATCAAAGGAAGGAGATAGTTCTCTCTCCCCTTGAGTAGTTGGTTATTTTAAGGAAGTTACCCTTACACATTGAGAAAGTGTCTAGGGCCTCTGCTCCCTTAGTGCAGACAGGGCGACAGCCAGGGCTTGTGGGGTGGTAGACAGCGCTTCTAACTCATTGCAAATTAAAGGGTGCTTCTTCTTTCCTTGTCTGTATTAGAACTGCTGTATTGTCATTGGTTTATTTTAAACTAGCCATTGGTTTTCAGAATGCATTTTTTACAAAAGGACAGTAAATAAAGTATTTTCCTCTAAACGTAGCATCAAACTAGGCCATACTGTCATATGACAAGATTATACCTGAGTTTCAGGGGTGCTGAGGAATATATATGAATATATGTAGGATATATATGAAGAGAAATGCTGGCCATCAGAGAAGGGAGGCAGGAGGTCAAAGGTGATACACATTACTTAGCAAAACATGTTTTTCTAGCACCCATAGTTGTCATTGGAGTTCATCATGTTCCCAACATGGCAGTATGCTTGTTTTCATACAGCACAGTTTCTAAAGTCTCCATTGCCCTTGTGGCAACTGATATTCACAGGCTGAGGAACCAACACAAGGCAGTGTGCTCCCTAAGCCCACACTCCCCAGCACTTATGCGTGTATGTGTCTGGATGGAGCTGGAGCTGGTCAGCTGGGATTTTCTAACTTAAATGTAGTGGAAGAGTAGTATCCTGAATTGCATGTCTGAGTCCCGTCACTCTAAGAGCCTTATTGTCTGCTGGAGCCCTTAGCATCCTATGGGGATTAGTGGTAGTGCTCCCGGTCTGTAAAACTTGAACATAAATACACAAGGCTAGTACGTCCTGAAGTGTTTAGTGGTGCTGTGCCCGCGCCCATAGTGCGTCTAGTCGCAGCGCAATCTCACCCTCCTCGGGATCTTCCTTTGCTCAGTTCTGGCTGTTGTGAGGTGCACGGCTAATTTGCCATTCTTGTTGTAGCTACAAGAGAAAGCTTTGCTTTCTTCAGGGAATTGTAATATAAACTGGGATGGTTTTCCCACTTCATAATCGACAACAGCTTTTGAGACGTTTTGCTTTGTAAATCTAGAACTTCTCATAGCTTAAATTGTTTTGCTAGGGATGTTGACTTCTAGTTTTATCTACTGCTATTAAAGCTTTCAAAGTGTAACCTGTGTGCAGTTTCAACAGTTTCCCGCACGTGACAGCTTTTTTCTGTCTGTGTCACTGTATTCCCACAGCACTTGCTGCATTAGTTTGTTTCCTCTGAGGCTCGTCTCCATCTAGCTCATACTGGCCTCGGGCTCATGGTCCTCTTGCCGTAGTTGCCAGGAGTTGGGGTTCCAGAGGGTTCACTGACCTGTGTAGCCACGCTTGCTTATTTTAAGGGAATACCTAGTGTGATGTATTTCTTCCCAAAAACTTCAACAGAAACCCCATCTGCACTGAGAAAACAAAACTCTTACCTGGTTTTAACTGGTTTGAGGCATGAGTGGATTCAACAAGCATAAATATTCAACATATTAGAAGGGACATGGCTGACCACATGAGCTCTAGGCAGACCCACCCAGTTCCAGTGCTTTCCTAAGCCTATGACTTCAGCCAGCTTCTCTTAGCCCTTTTTAGCTGTGTGGTTTTAATGAACTGAGATGATTAAGTAAGGCAGGAAGAGATGATTAGAAGAACAGCTATGGCTGCTGTTCTGTCAGGCATAATCTAGTTTTCAGTGTTACTCCCTTAAATGTGGGCCTTGCTCAACTTGATTTTATCTGTTAACTGGTGACTCGTATATCTCTCTACAGATGTATGTATAATTTCTTTACTACTAGGAATAATGCCTTTCAGCAAAACATCCACATTCCTTGAAATAATCAGTATGTGATTCGTACTTTTTCCAGCTTCAGCCCTGTAGTCTTAGCATCTGCAGCCTTTCCTTGTCCTTTGTGGATAGTATCTCTACTATCTACAGTAGGATTTGTATTCTTGCATGCTCTCTTTCATTGGTGGTAATGAGCAGTCTCCTTTCTACATATTGAACTCCAACTTAGGGGAATCACATTTAAACCGTGACTTGGCACTTTTGTTCTTGTAGCTTTTAGAATAATTTGTCTTATACTTTTGACAGTTTGACTGTAATAAAACTTTGGAATTTAGTAGCATACTCTTGAACCTTCACTTAATCCATTAGTTTATTCAAACTATCTGTGGGTAGAGGCCACTCGTTCGTTCCTGACCCCCCCCCAGACCTGAAATAATCACACGGAAACTATATTAATTAAAATACTGCTTGGCCTATTAGCTTAGACTTATTATTAACTAACTCTTACATCTTAAATTAACCCATTCCTATTATTGTGTGTATCGCCACAAGGCTGTGTCTTACCAGGTCGTTCTGGGACATCTGTCTCCTTTGGTAGCTATATGGCATCTCTCTGACCCTGTGTACTCTTTGTATCTCTTCCAGCCTGGCTATATTCTGCCATGCTATCGGCCGAAAAAGCTTCTTTATTAACCAACGGTAATAAAACATATTCATAGCATACAGAGGGGACTCCCACATCATCTAGATATATAATGAAGTACTGCTTTGCTTTGTTCTATTTGGGTGCCTTGTCCACCAGTATTTGCATGGAACTATATCCCCACCTTATATTTAGACATGTTTTGTTAACATGAAGTTTGGTAAGGAATGACATTTGGACTCCAGTACCAAGTCAGGGAGTAGTATGTTGCACTTGAACTCTGTTTTCTGGCTCTTTTGGGGGGGAAGACCGCTGTTGTCTTAGATCAGCTGTGATGGCCATGTTTGCAGTAGCTGCAGTGCTACGCAGCATTGTATCAGCAGACCCTCCAGGGCCAGTTCCATGCTCTGAATCACTGGGCCTTAACTCCCTTCCAGATAGTCTTTTCTTCACGCACCCTATGCCAAAGGAAGTGCTAACACTCACTCTTGTCTGTTAGCCTCCCACCTTCCTCTGCTCATCTGCTCACCCTTGCCCTGTTTGCTGGGGGTCATCCAGCCATTTGTGCCTCTGTAAGTCCACTTGTCCTTCACAGCATTGCCTTCTTCATCCAGCCTGGCCGAGAACATAGTGCACGGTCAGCATAATTCATCCGTGTGCTGCTGTCTTTGTAGGGTATTGTGGATCTAAAGTGTGAGCCGGGCGGTGGTGGCGCACGCCTTTAATCCCAGCACTCGGGAGGCAGAGGCAGGTGGATCTCTGTGAGTTCGAGACCAGCCTGGTCTACAAGAGCTAGTGCCAGGACAGGCTCCAAAGCCACAGAGAAACCCTGTCTCGAAAAACAAAAAAAAAAAAAACAAAAAAAAAAAAAATAAAGTTGAGTGTGCTTGCATGTGCTGATTGTATGTTCTACATAAAATGAGTGTGCTTCTATGTGCTGATTATATGTTATACATAATTTTTAGATTCTTTCCTAAAAGAAGAATCTACAGTAGAGAACATTGAATTGTAAATTCTTTGTTAGTGTCAGCGTCTCTTCAGTGATTGCTGTTGTCCATGAAGAACTTAGTATTTTCTGCCTAGGAAATATAGTTGAGCAAGTTCAGCACCATAGTCTGGAGCATGATTTGTTGTATATCACTGAATAGAATTGCCAAAATTGGATGTGGTGTCGGGTGGTTTTTTAGAGTCCTTAATTTGAAATGTTCTCTCTATGATCGCTCAAGTATCTTCTAAAATGGTTGTATAATCATTAGAAATCAACACAATGTCTCTTTCTCAGGAGCCTCCACGCCCTATGCATCCAGCACCCTTACCGGAAGCCCCACAGCCTCAGCGTCTGCCCCCAGAAGCTGCCAGCACTTCCCTGCCTCAGAAACCACACTTGAAGTTAGCACGAGTTCAGAGTCAGAATGGCATCGTGCTGTCGTGGAGTGTCCTGGAAGTGGATCGGAGCTGTGCTACTGTTGACAGCTACCATCTCTACGCTTACCACGAGGAACCCAGTGCCACTGTGCCCTCTCAGTGGAAGAAGATTGGCGAGGTCAAAGCCCTTCCTTTGCCAATGGCCTGCACTCTGACTCAGTTCGTGTCTGGCAGCAAGTACTACTTTGCCGTGCGCGCCAAGGACATTTATGGACGTTTTGGGCCTTTCTGTGACCCTCAGTCCACGGACGTGATCTCTTCCTCCCAGAACAGTTAGACCTTGGAGCCTTCAGCTTCTTTTCAAAGTTGCACATTTTGGGCTTGTTTTTAATCTTGTGCATGAAATTTAATGTAAAATCCACCTTGTGCAAGATCTCTTGGACAGATGAGTGTACACACTATGTTTGTTTATAACCGAAGTATAATAAATTCAGCCGGTAAAGCAAGTCTTCCCCTGAACAAGTCAAGCTTCAGGGGCTTCAAATGTAAATTGTTCCTTGCTTTAGTTATGAGGCTGGGGAATTCATATGGGTGTCCGTGTGTGTCTTCTTCTTTCTTTCTTTCTTTCTTTCTTTCTTTCTTTTTTGTTTTAAGCTTTAAATTTCTGGGCGTGTGTTTATCACAGTGCAGTCCCCATTTTCACTCCTCATATTACCTCTCCTGGTGGGAAATGATAGATAAAGAATCTGAGGGGTTGCTGGCCTGCTTCTACCTTTAGGGGGATCTAGAAGATCAAAGACTCGAAACAAAGTCCAAAGAAATGAAAAGAAAAAAAAATATTTAGCTTAAAGCGGATTAATTTTAACAGAAGGGATATTCTTTCCATAATTTCTTTGATTTTTTTTCTGTGTTACTGATTAGGTAAAAAATTTTGTATCTGTACCCCAAGTCCCTAATCTGGCTTCTCCATTTGTGTTGTGCCTTAGAAGCTACAGAAATACATAGACCACATGCCTGTCATTGTTTCTTCTCTCTCAGCTTTCATTTATTCATTGCCACCAAGGACACCACACCCTTTATGCATTTTTAGAACCGAGTTGTGTAGGGTGTGTTTTCCTCATCTTTTATAACATCACTGTATCACAAAATCCAAAAATTTGACTTCTGTTTTCTTTTAATTTTGCCCATTATTTAGCTGCATAAAATAGGCCATGTTGTTTAAGAAAATTTAATGTCTATGTTGTATTGTTAGAGAATCTGCAGGAAGTTGTGGTTCATCTCATCACTTATGGAGAGTGTCCTTTCCCAGACAGTAAATGCTCACGAAAGAGCTGGAGCTCAGATCTCCTAATTCTTCGAGAGAGACCCTTCCTGCTTTAGCCTTCACTTCGAGTGGTGGTGTCCAGTACTGTCTGATGTCATCAACTTTGGATAGAACTTAGAAGCGTGTCCTTTGGGTCATTTCACACAGCTCCGAGATCCGGTCAGCTCATTGTTTCTCTTTCCTCTGCCCGTGCATGCCCAGGGAGTCAGCCAGGCGCCTTAGAGTTGCAGACGAGGAAGGGTGAGGGTGAGCGAGGCATTGTGGGATTTGTGCAGTCACTTTCCAGCTCTTTCCTCCTACAGCATTTTTAAGACATACTTCTGCCTTCATCAGTCATTCTCTTTTGCTGGCATTGGAAGTGGGGAGCTCCAGTCCCGTTGTGTATTCGTGCCTTGGGTGGCTGACAGCAGGAGTCATCTAGTTGTGACAACAGGGTCTTTGATGACTTCTCCCTGGCTTTGCTCTGTCATCTTCAGTGTGCATGAACATTTTGGTTAATGAAGGAAGCCTGCAGTTGCCAAAGTGTAAATGCTCCTAAGCTTCCACATGCAAGTCAGTTTCCCCAAAGTTTAGCGTAGCCTGCTGCTGTGCAGCAAGGACTCAGATTTGTGATCATGTTCATCATGTTACCAGTGTTAGGCAGTGAGAATTTGGGAAGGAGGAAATGATTTCGTATGCAAGATCACCTCTCTGTACCAGCATGTTCGTTCATCACGTGTTGTGGGAGGCACAGGGTTGCTGTTCTCAACATCACTCCTGTCTATGTCTTGAAAAACATACGCAAAATTGGTTTTACTGGCTGGTCTGCCCAATAGCCAATGGAAGTTTCCCGGGTGAATATTTTTGTTTATATTCACTAATCATTTTTTTCTCTTGTTCTTTTTTAAATGTTTCCATAGTGTTATATAATTAGGTGAAGAAAGCCCAGTAGGATTACTATATTTTGTTGTTTTGGCTTCTACTTGGGGATTTTTGTCAAAAAAAAAAAAAATCTTAAATAATGGCTCTAGATGTAACTTTCCTGCAGCAGGTAGTTACCTCCAGATTGGAAATCAGGTATGAAGAGAGACTGTAATTGTTGAGGGAGAACACTCTTTTGGATACAATCTCCTCAGGTGACCTGCCACTAGGCTTCGGCCAGCAGCCACCTTGAGTTTTCTGGCATGTGCTAGGCTTTTTTCTGTGGGGCAGATGGGCATTGGCTTTCTCTCTGGCTGTCTGTGGGGGAGAATGGAAGCAGCCACAGGCCTCAGCACCCTTGGGATTTAGGAGCAGTACATGTCCCATGGCTCTCTGTTGCCTCCTGCTCAAAGTATCACAGATAAGCTCAGTTGTCCCATTTGGGGGATTCATGTTTGCTCCATTTTTAGCCTGACAATACTGCTAAGTATTGCCTCACCGGGAATCCTGGAAACTTCTCAAGTGCCATCTTGAGGTGTCAGGTGTTTGTACGGGAATGAACGGGAATAGTAATGTTTGTTACTCTGCTGTGTCAGTACTTTCCACCCCGTTTTAAGCGTGAGCACACCTCTTTCATGTATGTCCTTGCTGTTGGCATACAAAGACAGCCTTGGTTGTGACTGTTAACTTGACAAGGTGACTGGCCCTGTTTCTCTAGGCTCAAGTTTTAAACTGTAGAATACTTTGTACTGTGCAGTGAAGCGTGACTTTATGAAAGAAACGAGAGTTTTCTTCCTTAGAAATAGTGGGCTGAGCACCATTCCCCTCACAGAGAGGAATCCTCCTTGACCTCCCCTCCCCCATGTGCCAGATAAGGGGTACCTTAAAAGCACGTGTGTCTCAGGGGTTTCAGGCACACCTCTGCTGCTTTCTTTATACACGCCAGATGGGTGTTCTTGTTGCCTGCTCCATTGTGTTAAACATCTTCCAGATTACCACTCGTGTCAGTGCCTGGAGACATTTCACTTCCCGCGAGTTTCCCAGTACTGTGTATGCTTTAAAATGCTGTGTGTGGCATCTTCTCACTTCCAGATGCTGCTATCTCACCCTGTAAGGACCACAAAGACAGCCTTCCAAGTCCCTGACTCGGCCTTAGGCCATTCAGTATCTTCATTATATTTCCTGCTTCCCTCTGGTTGGGTCACATGTTTGGTTCTCTTGGAAATACATGTCCTTGTGCATAGATGATAACTGGGCAATTGTGTGATTCTGCCTGCCTTAATTATTTTCTGGGCAAATGGCTTCAAAGAAATATTTGAGGGGCACACAAAAAATTAGAACAGTAACCATGAGTTTGTCAGTATAGGAGGCTTACCAAATTCTTAAACCTCATCCCCTTGAGTCAGCTGAAAGGGAGTAGCTGAAGAGACACCGCTCTCATCTTCAAATGATTTTATCATGTTCAAACTTTTATTTTTGTGTTTTTTATGTAGAGACAACTGAGTACCTATCATTTAAATATTTAAATGAATTCCCCCCTCCTTTTGTAAATAAGGGAATTAAGCAATCAAACACCTGGGAATCCTAGCTTGAGATTTATTAACAATTTCAAACATAAATGTAAAAATAAGCCCCTCGCAGGACAACCTGCAATCTGATTTTTGTTCATTGCGGTTGAATGTGTAAATAATAAAATGATGTAAGGCCTTCCTGAGGTCTCATTAACTGGACTGTAGCAAGTTGCCCTATTTTCTGTTAGGTTTTGACAGTTTTCATTCTCTTTCCTCCATGTATAGTAGAGTGCTGTTTGTGTACGTGTTAACTGCAGTGGGGATTTGTCCAGCAAGCCTGAAATTTGTACTCTGAAATAAATGATTGGGTTTTTAACATTCTGAGTACTCCAGTTCATTCCGAGAGTTCCCGGCGCGTGTGTGTGCTCACTGTTCAGTGTGTCTTATTTAACCTGTTTGGCAATTCCCTGGCACTCAACCCCCACGTTATTCCCTAGCTTTGAAGAAGTTGCTCTGTAGACCCACTGCCTTGTTAGATAGGGTCACAGTGCCTCCTGTTTGGGCTTTGCCGTTGGCATTGGCCAGCAGGGGAAGGAGAACAAACACGGGAGGTGCAGGTGTCTTAAAATGGCTTTTGACTGAAAATGACCCTCATCTTACAATCAAGCTCAATTGGTTAGAGCTTGGTTATACCATGGGCTGTGTTTGGCATCTGCAGGCAGAGGAGGGGAGGATGGCTTCTGTCCTTTCATGTGTGTTCATTTCGCTCTCCACCCTGCAGGAAATGGTTTTGCTGTAAAATGCCAAAAATCTGAGAAATGGAAGGGAATTTAGTATTTTTTTAGTAAATGTACAGATGGGAAAATAGAGCTAAATATAGTGCCTTTGGAGTCGTATTCACAGCGTCCTTTTCCTCCTCCATCCTCACTGTGTCAAAATTGGTTTCATGGTAACAAAATCGAAGTCATAGACTTCTGGCATCCCCGCATGAAGAGTTTTGTTGAACCGATTCCAGTTAAAGGCAGGAAGGCCACCTTGTACTGTGGGACCACTAATGGCATGGGCTGCATACTTAGACGCAAGGAAGATGTCTGCCACCTGGAAAAGAGAGGACAACATTTTAAAAGACCATCTGGAGCTTGCGTAGTCCTCGTCTTCTACTCAAGGGCACACTGCAAGCCTTTGAGACAGTTTCCTGGGAGCTGCATCCCATCCATGACACGAGCTTCTGCGGCCATTTAGCATCCAAATGGGAGTTACTAGGAGAGCAGCATAGACAGAAGCTGCGCAGTGGGATGGCCAGTTCAGAATTGTAGCCCCACAAGGTTCATTAAGATCACTTTAGTGGTTGTTTCCACGACTCGGTTTTCTTCAGAAAGTGGACTCGTGCCCGTTCTTCCTAGACCAAAGCATGAATTACTGGGAGTAACAAAGCCAGCAAATCCTCAGCAGAGGCTGCTGTTAATTAGGGCAGCAACAAGGGTTCTAAAGGATGAGCCACACTCAAAGGGCTCTCCAGAACCCGACTCAGGGATAGAAGCAAATCTAGTGTTAGAGGGGAAAGAAGGCGATGCTTCTGAAGTAGCCGGAAGACAATGTATGTTAAGCTTATTCGGGCAACAACATCTGGCAGATGGCAGCTTGACTTTGGTTCTTCCATACAGGGTAACAGAGACGGTTTTCTGCATGTTGTCTGAGACAAATGCAGTACTTCCTATACACTTTCCTCTTGAAAGTGTGAATACCATGGAAAAGAAACAACACATGTTGGGGCTCCCTGGTGCCACTTTCTTCTTTATTACCTGGGTTGTACAACATGAAACATCCTTAGAACTGAAGTCTTGCCTTCACACGCCTGGCTGGAAGGGAGAGCTAGGACTCAGACTTGAAGAGCATCTCCCCCGTGAAGGATGGCTGACAGTGAAGGCAAGTGTAAGTGGTGTGGGAGCTTCTCCAGTCAAAGAGATGAAAGCTGCATCTTGAAGCTAAAAGGCCAGCTTATGTATGGGAAAGTCTGGAGCAGCCTGCTCTCAAGAAAAAGGCCAAGCTTGTAGCCTTCACTGGGTCTCTGGTGATTTAGTTCCTTCCATGGTGGCCGTCTATCAATGTGCTGTTAGCTGGCTTTTGTTATTGGCCACGTGAGCAAGCTTCATTTTGCTGCAAAAACCTGAAGTGCTTTGGCCAACTGGGCTAAAACATATTCCTTAATTCATGTGTAATATAGAACCACAGTAGTCTCAGTAAGATGGTTCTTTGGATTTAGGGCCATCATAAAATGTTACTATGCTGATTGTACACATTTTAAAATGAATTTTAAAAGATTTATGTGTATGAATATTTTGTCTTCCTGTGTGTATGTGCACTACACGCATGCAGTGCCATTGGAAGCCAGAAGAGGGCGTTGGATACCCCAGAACTGGAGTCCAGATGGTTCTTAGGCAGCATGTTGGTTCAGGGAATCAAACCTTGGACCCCTGAAAGAGCAGTCAGTTCTCTAAAGCATCTCTCCATCCCTATGAATACATTTATAAATAACTAAGAGCTCTTCTAGACAGGGTGAGGGTGTTGAAGATTGATCCTTCACTATATAAGGTAAATTCTGTTATCTATAGGAACAGTCTGCTTCCTGAATTTCATATATGTTTAGAGACACTGGGCTTTATGCCACAAAAAAAAAAAAAAAAAAAATCTGTCTCTAGCCTAACTCCTCATTAGAAGTAAATTGGAAAGTAAGGTATGTGAGTTACCTTGGTGTCATAGCAACCTCCAGGGCTGGGACTGGCTTCATTCAGGTCCTCACGACAGCAGATGGTATTGCAGGGATCACCCTTACTGTAGGGGTCCTCCTTATAATCTAGGAGACACAAGAATGGGGAAAGAACAGGTATTGGTTATTCTGAGATCTACTTATCCAAAGTAAGAGTTTGGATCCATTCATGCCTGAATCATTAAAGATTGTGTTTGACAGGGTGCCCCCACTGTGGTGGTTTAAGAGAGAATGGCCCCAAAGGGAAGCGACATTATTAGGAGGTGTGAAGTAGGAAGAAGTGTATCTCTGTTGGGGTGGGCTTTGAGGTCTCTCTTGCTCAAGCTTCCCTAGTGTGACATGGAGACCACATCCTGTTGTCTACAAGATGGAGACTCTCAGCTACTTATCCAGTACCGTGTCTGCCTGCACACCGTGCTCCACGCCATGATGATAATGGACTGAACCTCTGAACTGTAAGCCATCCTATTAAATGTTTTCCTTTATAAATGCTGCCATGATCACGGTGTCTTTTCACGGCATTAGAAACTCAAACCTGCTTCCCAATACAGGCATTGCTCTAGGCTTGCTCCAGGGAATGACAAGCTGCAAATCCTTTGCTCCAGGCCTAGCTGCCTCAAGCACCACACCCCAGGGAGAGATACACATGCAGAACCATTTCCCAGCAGATGATAAACAAATTAGCCTTGGAGAGTCTTCATCAAAAGAAAGCATTTATGAGTATTTTAGCTGCTTTTGTCCTTGGGAATTCTGCTGGCAGAAGGTCAAGAGGTGTTAAGGAAAGGGGCCCTCCCTACTTGGTTCATTTCCTTTATGTTTTACATGCAACTTTTTTGGTGTGGGGAGGGCGGTCAGGTAAGAAAAAGTCTGTAGAGCCAGGTGTGGTTATATACACCCACAATTCCAACATTTGCAAGGAGAAGACAGGATCAAGAATTGAATTTGTGTCTGCTTAAATGTGCGTATGCACATAAGCATGTCATGGCGTGCCTGTGGTGGTCGGAAGACAAACTATGGGAATCCTCTTCTTCCACTGTCAAGGACTAGGGCGTCGAACTCAGGCTAATAGGCCTGGCAGCAAGTGCCTTTCTCTGCTGGGCCACACTGCCAGCCTTTCAAAAAGTTCTCTGAGATTTTATAAAGGAGGCAAAAGTTCTATTTGTTCAGCAATGTATGTACAGCACGAATAGTATTCTGAACACTGAACGGATAACTTCTTATAATTCCTTCTAGAACAAGATGATAAACTTGCACAGGGTATTCCATGGGGGAAGGAAAGGAGTTTTGAAGAATGGCTCTTGAGAAATGTGTTACGTACTATTGTATCGCATGATGTATTTCATGGAAGTCACATCAATCACTTTCCCTTGGTCGCGCCTGAAGATTTTGGCTCGTGGAGCTAAGTCATAAGAGTAGTCCAAACCAAGCTTCTGAACCAACAGCGGGTAGCCACTCCAGTTGTAGATCTTTTCATGGAAAGGGATATTGTAGGAAGGCCAGTATCCTGATATGGAACGGAAGAGAAAGATGGGGTTGAACAGAGAGAGGGAGACGGGAAGAGAAGGGGAACAAAACGCGGAGGTTAGTGAATAACAGTATATTTGAGACCCGCCACATGTGTAATTACAATGAAGCGGCATAGGAATTGGAGCTGAGAACAGAAACCTGCCGACCAGTGGTCCCTCTAAACTCCCCGAGGTGGAGTGCTTCTAGGTTTCTGTGGGGAAGAAGAGAAGGAGAGGTTTTTGATTCTCACCCCGAGTTATCAGCGCAATCTAGAATGCAGATAATAACATTATTCTCCATGGAGCAGAAAAAGCGAAGGATAATGTAGTATTCTGGGGAGCAGCCTGACGTCCATGTGGTGACCGTCTGGTGCCCACTGAGGACAGCAGACACTAATCATACTGACGGAAGCACAGCACTGACATCAGAAAACGCAAGTTCTAGCTAAGTTCCTGGATGAAAGCTCAGGTCTCAGGCACCTCACCCCACTTCTTCCTTTTGTGAGAACAGAAGCGAAGGGAGTGCCTATGATGAGTGGGGATGGGGTGGGGTGTTGTCTTTCCCATTCCAGCAAGCTGTTAACTTTCAGGACGGTAGCCATTGTCATCCAAAATTTGCACATCAAGTCACTAAGCAGTAGACATGTGGCACAATTCTAGGAACATCGCAGCTTACACTGGCCTAGGTTATTACCTACAGGACCATCAGTTAAAATGAGGGTGTCCCTAGCCACTATGGAAACCAATATGGAGGTTTCTCCAAACCAGCTCCGGCTGTGGATCTCCTGGGAATGCACTCAGGAAATCTTAAGTCAGCACACCACAGTGACATGTAAATCCATGTTTATTGTTTATGGTCGGTAGCCAGTAGAAGCAGCCCATTATCCAGCCATGAAGGAGTCAATGCAGACAGTGCGACACTCTGCCACAAAGAATAAAACGAAAGAGGGTGGGTCTGGAGATGGTCACAGGCAGGGGAGTGAGCCCGACTCGGACAAACACCGCATTTCCTCCGGAGTGCTTTATAGTTCGGTTCAAAAGTAAAACGGAGATGACGTGGACAAACAAAGGGGCCTAGCAGGAAAGGGATGGAAGGAGGGAGCAAGGGGGGAGTATGGTGGGTGGATGAGCTCAAAGTGCACGGTGGACTTGGAGGAAACGTCTTTATGAAGTCCTGCACCACGTACAGTGAGTCTACTTCAATTCTAAAAATTAGGGGTTGCTCTACTTCAGGGAGTCATTTCCGACCGCCATGTTCTTTGGCCCTTGTGTGTGTGTGTCTTTGTCCTTTTTTTACTCTTGTGTGGGAAGCTCCTTATCCAGGGAGAAGCTACTGAGACAAAGCAAATGTTTAACTTTGCAGGGGCACAGAACCAGCGCCAGGAAGAGCGGAGATAAGGACAGCACTGAAATTACAGGTAAAAACAGACTTGTTGCTAGGCTGGACTAAGTCACAGAGACTCAGAAGTGAATACCACCTGGACTCACAGCCTGGCTCCAGCATTACTAGGTATGTGACCAAGGACAAATCATTCACCTCTTTGTGCTAATGTCTTCATCTTTATAATGTCAATAATACTTTTCCAGCATCTGTGGTGTTTTGAACGAGCAATGTTCCCCACAGGCTTGTGTGTTTGAACACTTGGCTTCCTCTTGGTGGTGCTGTCTGGAGAAGTCATGGAACCTTTGAGAGATGCAACCTTGCTGGAGGAAGTGCATCAGTGAGGGTGGCCTTTGAGGATTTATGTACTGGCCCCACTTCCCCTCTGCTTTGTCTGCTTCCTGCCCGTGGCTGAGGATGTGATCTGTCTGTTGCCTGCCCCTGCAGCCTGCTACTGCGCCTCTCCAGCTGTCGTGGTCTCTCCCTCTGGAACCAGCAGCCAAAACAACCGCCTATGTAAGTGACTTTTGATCATGGTGCTTATCACAACAAAGGTAACTAATCCAGTATCACACAGTGGATCCTTCCTTTTTAAGGATCATTGTAGACACTAAGTGTGTTCAAGCAGCTGTGGGTACTTACAGTAGTGCCAGTCTCGGCGATAAATTAATTGTTGGTAATACTATAGGAACAGCTCCCTCCAAAACCAGTCTCTGCTGCCCTTCGCAATCTCATAAGGCCTCATCATTGACAAAAGCATCTACTATGGAAGTGGGTGTATTCCCAGATCAACCTGGTGATGTTTAAGCACTACCATCCCCTCTTGGAAGCATGATTTCAAGCTCAGTTGCCGTCTGGCTCTTAGAGGCAGCTCTCTCTCTCCTCCCTCTCTCTCCTCTCTCTCTCTCTCTCTCTCTCTCTCTCTCTCTCTCTCTCTCTCTCTCTCTCTCCTTTTCTTCCATAACCCTCTAAATTAACTTTCGAAGAAGAAGAAGAGGAGGAGGAGGAGGAAGAAGAAGAAGAAGAAGAAGCACTGCCTCCATCCCAGAGTTGCTTTTTTTTTTTTTTAATTTGAAGAATGGTTACACAGTATCTTTATTTGAGAGCATCTCCTATTTCTTCCTGAGCCTTTATCTTCACAGCAGAATGTTTAGTATAATGCTTCTCTGGAACTTCCCTGTGAGATCAAACATCAGAACAGAGAAAAGACCCAGAAGGGTGGCCAGAGCAGTGGTTCTCAACCTGTGGGTCACGACTCCATTTGCATATTGCATGCCAGGTATTTACATTACAATTCATAAGAGTAGTGCAATTTCAATTATGAAGTAGCAACAAAATAACTATGGTTGGGGGTCACCACCACACGAAGAACTGTCTTAAAGGGTCTCCACCTTAGAAAGGTTTGAGAACCAGTGGTCTAAGGGGCCCTAGGGACGTTTTCTTCTGTAGTATAGCCACTGCTAAGTTACCCAAGCTATTTTGTCAATCTCCCTAGTTAAACTCTACAGGGCTCCCCCATGCCCAGAAAAAATAAACCATGAAAGCAGAAGGGACGGACTGGGAAGAGGAAAGGGATTGGTGAGGGTGGGGAGGTGTGGGGGAGAGGTGAAGGAGAGGGTGCTATAAAAACACGTGTCTGTGTAAGATAGCATAATAAATCTACTGTTGTACACAATCAGTGTATACTCTGTGTAAGATAGCATAATGAGTCTATTCTTGTACACAGTATATACCAATGAACAAACTTTTAAAAAAAAGTCATTGTAGGAAAGTGGCAAGTGCTGTTAAAGTTTCGACCTGGTGACCTGCACCACAGGTAAATCTGGCCTCTTTTAAGTCACTGTCATGTGATCTGTCACAGAGACAAAGACAAATGACCATCATGATAAGCAGTGTCTTTGTGAGGGGATAAAGACAGAAGGCCCTCAAGCTCATTTTTGCAGATTTGTGTCTTTTCCCTACTAAATTAGTTTAGTTTGGATCACATTTTCCTACCGGGTAACTTAGCACCAGAGCAATAACTTTGGCTTCCGAGCTCTGGGATCTTAAAACGATGAGCAAGCAATGGTGGGTCTATGTCACGGTTGCCCTGACTTACATGGAGAGAGCAGGGTTGGCGAGGATGGGTCATTTACCTGAGATTTTGGGGAAGCCAAGATTCAATCCCTCAGCTTCACCTGTCTGGGCAGTACCCCTGATGACCCCTTCCACTAATGGTACCCTCTTTAGTAAGGTTCTGTTAGGCCCAGTACTTCAGACCTTATTCCGGTTCTCCCATTCTGGACTCTCAGCCTTTGCTATAGGACACTCCAGAGTTTGTAGAGAAGCAATTTGGTATTATTGCTTTTCCCGCCTGAGTCAGAGCAACAGCCAAAAAATGTGCTGAGAGGAACTAAAAAGTCAGCCTCCAGAATTAAAGAAGGAGATCGTTGTTAGGGCTGTTAGAGGTCAGAGGGTCATGTGCCTGACAGGCGTCCCAATCTCCAATGAGAGAGTGAGGTCCCTCTCACCTGTTGTGCCGAACACAATAATTCCGTACCAGGAAAACTGACAGAAAAATTTCCGTACCAGGAAACCCACTCACACACACGCCCCTGTCACACACACTCACCTCACACTCACATCCCTGTCACACACACTCACCTCACACTCACATCCCCGCCACACACACTCACATCCCCGTCACACACACTCACATCCCCACCACACACAGTCACACACACACACATCCCTCACACACACACACTCACATCCCCGTCACATACACACCCACACACACACACACTCACATCCCCACCACAGTCACCACACACACACACACCCCTCGCACACACACACTCACATCCCCGTCACACACCCACCCACACACACACACTCACATACACACACATCCCTCACACACACACTCACATCCCCGTCACACACAGTCACACACACACACACATCTCTCATACACACACACTCACATCCCCGCAACACACAGTCACCACACACACACATCCCCCTCACACACACACACACTTACATCCCTGCCACACACAGTCACACACACACACTCACATCCCCGCCACACATAGTCACACACACACATCCCCCTCACACACACACACACACACTCACATCCCCGCCACACACAGTCACACACACACACACACACACTCACATCCCCGCCACACACAGTCATACACACACACACTCACATCCCCGCCACACATAGTCACACACACACACACACACACATCCCCCCCCCACACACATCCCCCCCCACACACTCACATCCCCGCCACACACAGTCACACACACACACACTCACATCCCCGCCACACACAGTCACCTCATACACACATCCCCCTCACACACACACACACACACCCCTCACACACACACACACAGTCACCTCACACACACATCCCCCTCACACACACACACACACACCCCTCATACACACACAGTCACCACACACACACAGTCACCTCACACACACACACACACACCCCTCACACACACACACACACCCCTCACACACACACACACACCCCTCACACACACACACCCCTCACACACACACACACACACCCCTCACACACACACACCCCTCACACACACACACAGTCACCTCACACACACACACACCCCTCACATACACACACACCCCTCACACACACACACACACCCCTCACACACACACATAGTCACCTCACACACACACACACACACACCCCTCACACACACACACACACACACACACCCCTCACACACACACACACAGTCACCTCACACACGCCTAAGTTGCTTTTCTCCCAGTAGCACAAGAGCAGAAATGAAGCCAGGACACACAGATAGGCGCACAATCCCGGCAGGCTGGGAAGACGGTACCTTTTTTTAGAACTTTGGTTTGTTCTGAATATTCTACGTATGTAGGAATTTGCTCCACGATATACAGAGTGCCTTTGTCAAGGCTTTTCTTGATGGCCACCTTCTTCAAGTCCAGGACCATGTACTGATTGTTGTAGGTACCTGCAAGGTTGGGAGACACAAGGGTAGCATGGAATGCCTCGCCTGGCTAACTGGTAGATAATCTCAACTGATTAACAATGGTAATGCTTCACTAATGCAGGCTCATGCCTGAGGGCTAGCACACAGAGAGACCTACTTACCAGAGTTGTACCTTGAAAAGATCTCTGCCCAGTCCTTACCACCGACTGCCATCATGTTGGCCACGCGGACTCTTTGCCAGGCCAGGAGAGACTCAGGGACCACGAACTTCAGCAGGGTTTTATTATACACACTGTTGGTGGTCTGTAGCAGTACCAGGCCACTGCTAAGAATGTAGAAGTCATCCAGAGACTCCAAGAACCCTGGAGGAATGGCAGATGCACAGGCTGTTACACGTGCGCTGTCCACACGGTCACCATCAGCACGGTGCTTGACTTTCTTTTCCCTGCAGCAGCCCTTCCTAGCTTTGGCACAGCTCCTGTAAACCTCACTGTAGACCAGGTTTGTTTGTTTCCCAGGTGTCCAGACCCGAAATAATCACACAGAATCTGTATTCATCACAACATGGCTTGGCCAATAGCTTAGGCTTCTTATTGACTAACGCTTACATTTTAAACTCACCCATTTCTATTCTATGTATTGCCACAAGAGTAAGGTTCTGGCTGGCTACTGGTGTCTTTCTCCTTCAGCAGCTACATGGCATCTCTCTGACTCCTCCTACTTTCTCTCTATATATGTATCTCTTTCATCCTGGCTATATTCTGCCCTGCTATAGGCTGAAATAGCTTATTTACTAACCAATGGTAATAAAACATGTTTATAGCATATGGAGGGGAATCCCACATCACCCCATACCCTCTTAAATTCTCTTTCAGAAAAGTGTGGTAACCCGAGATATGTGTGTGTGTGTGTGTGTGTGTGTGTGTGTGTGTTAGGGGATAGGAGGCATGTGTTTATACAGGCAGCAAGTAAACAGCAGACAAACTGGATCTCTATTTGGCAGGACTATCTGTGCTGGGGTGAGTGTGGGCGGGCAACTCAGAGGCAGCCCGGAGAGGGGGAGGGCAGGACACCATCTGCACCCACAGAGGTCGACAGTTGAAAGTGGTAAAGGAATGTCCGAGAGCCCGGAGTTAGGCTAGGCTCTTCTGCCATGTTTCTCAAGGGTGAGGTGAAGAGCCCGAGGGAGCTCGCTTGCCCCTTTCACCTTGTAAGAATACAGAATAGAAAAGGACCTTCAGCAGACACCTCCGACTTCCCAGTGTCTAGGACGCCTTTTTGGAAATCACCCCATCTAAACTCTTCTTCTGTGATGGAACAGATAGACGTGGGCTCTGGCGTCTACCATTTTATAACATCCCCTTTCTTTTTGACCTATCTTATCTGAGTATATCTACATTTTTGTTATCTAAACTGTTACTCGCATAATATTTTCATTTTATTATTTGTTTGTATTGTTTATTATGTAAGACTTTAAGACAATCCTGAAGCCATTTTTGAATCCTCTCAGCCTCTGTGCCATAGTGCTTCCCCTCCTCGCCTGGGAACCAAGGACCTAACAGCTACACTTGCACGTACTCAGTTCCTGACAATTACCCATATACGTATGCTTTGGTTCGGTCCCCTGGGAAACGGGGTCAAAATGACCTCTTACCTCATCTGATCTGGCAACAGCTCTCCAGTCAATTATTGGTAATAGCCCTTTCAAATAAGCCAATCAGAATAGTCAAAGAACAACCTCCCTTGCTTCTGTGGCCCCTTTAAAAGTAGACTGTACCAGCTATTCGGGGTCCCTCGGCTTCCCGAATGCTGGGGGACCCTGTCATGACAGAATTAATAAAATCCTCATGCTTTTGCATCGGCTGTGGTGTATGAGATGGTCTCTGGGGGTGACTCCTTCTCGGTGTTTGGATGCTAGAGTCCAACAATTACTGTTGTGTATGTATGTAAGGTGTATGGACACTTGTGTTGTGGGGGTCCAATGAACAACTTTGTGCAATTGGTTCTTGTCCTCGTTTTGTTTGTTTGGTTTGGTGTGGTCAACTTGACACAAACTTGGACATGTCTGGGAAGAAGGAATCTTATTTGAGAAAATGCCTCCGTTAGATGGCCTATACATAAGCCTGTGGGACATTTTATTGACTAATGATTGGTATAAGAGAGTCCAGATAAGCACGGGTGGTGTCATCTCTGGCCTGGTCGCTCTGCAGTGGGTAAGAAAGCAAACTAAACATCTAGATGCAGCGTTTCTCACTGGTCTCTGTGTCAGTTCCTGCCTTCAGGTTCCAGCCTTCCAGTCCTGCCCTGACTTCCCTCAGTGATGTCCTGTAGGCTGGGAGATGAAGTAAACCCTTTCTTCCCCAAGATGCTTGTGGTCCTGGTGTTTATCCTAACAGTAGAAACCCGAAGCAACAGTTTTCTTTCCGCCTTTACATGGGTTCCAGGATTGGACTTTGGCTGTTAGGATTTCAAAGCAAGCACTTTTACCCAGAGTCGTCTTGCAGGCTCTTAGTATTATAGTTTTGAATGTTTTTAATTTAGCCTGGCAGTGGTGGTGCATGCCTTTAATCCCAGTGCATGGAAGGCAGAGGCAGGCAGATCACTGAGTTCAAGGCCAACCTGGTCTATAGAGTGAGTTCCAGGGCAGCTAGGTTACACAAGAGAACCCTTTCTTGAAAAGCAAATATATATACACACATACACACACACACATATATATTTAATGTGTAGAAATAGTTCCTTTGATTGTATGTATACTGTATACCACATATGTGCAGTGCCCGAGGAGGCCAGAAGAGGGCATCAGAACCCCCGGAACCTGGAGTTACAGAGGGCTGTGAGCCACCATGTGGGTGTTGAAAACCAAATCGAGGCCTTTCTACAAGAGCAAAAAGTGCTCTTAACCACTGAACCATCTCTGGGGGCTTTTCTTGTTTTGACTTCTTAAAAGGCAAAACTGTATATATCTATGGGATACATCTGATAGTCAAATAAATATACACATTGTGAATGGCTAACTCAAACTCTTTTTTTTTCAAGATAGGGTTCCTCTGTGTAACCATTCTAGCTGTCCTTGCACTAGCTCTTGTAGACCAGGCTGGCCTCAAACTCACAGAGATCCGCCTGCCTCTGCCTCCCAAGTGCTGGGATTAAAGGCGTGCGCCACCACTCTTTAACATATATGTTACTCAGTATTTTTCTTTACATTAATTTCCTTTTCACACCCAAGATATATTAGCTTTTTCATATACATTAATATCCGAAGAAACCAGGGTTTAATTTTCATTTCCTTTCTCCTAAAACATTAAAATAAATGCCCTTCTTCTTAAGTACAAAAAGACTATATATGGAACACCTTAAACCACACCCCTGGAATGGCGTGTGTCACTGTACAATGATGGCACCTGGGGTGGACCTGGTAGGCTAGGGGTCCAGTAAGAGGGTTACATCAAGCTAGGTGCTTCAGAGGTGGAGAAGAGTGGCCCAGGTGTCCAAGGTCATCCTCAGCTACACAGCAAGGTCCAGGCCAACTTGGGCCACAGGAAACGAGAGCAAAGTGTTGTGGGAGCAGAGAAGCCTCTCGGTTACACAGACAGCTCACAGCAAACCTGCCCGTGGCCAATTCAACTCTGCCTGGGCCACCGGAAACGAGAGCAAAGTGTTGTGGGAGCAGAGAAGCCTCTCGGTTACACAGACAGCTCACAGCAAACCTTCCCCGTGGCCAATTCAGCTCCGCTAGCCCGAGAGTGCGCGATGTCGTCCGGCTCTCACAATCTAAGTTTAATCGCCAGGGCTTCAGAGTAAGACTCTTAAATGGTAAGAGGATGTCCAACTGATTTAACGAGTTTCTTCACAGGGTGGGTCAGTTCACACAAGGAGCAAGAGCGAGGGAGTTATCTGCTCCGGTCTGTCTATACAGGCTTAATGGCACCCTCAAACACAATTTCTGGGGAGACACAGGCTGGATGTAGGATAGAGGGGGGTTAGTTTGCAGGGACGACTCGTTCATTTCTTCTTCCCCTTGCAGCGCTCAAACTGTGCAACCATGCGTGGCCACCGCAAGCAAGCCTGTGGGAGGAAGATCCCTGGCGGCTGAAGCAATGCTCTGACGCGTGGCTAACTCCTCCTCGTTGTAGCAGCCTCTCCGGACGGGAGAGGGCAGCCGTTCTCCCACGAGGGAGTGCTTTAGGGATGCCCTCCATTGCAGGGTACGGGTCTTCACCGAGGAGTGCAGCCAAAAAAAAATACAGGCTGCCCAGAGTTCTGGAACAGCAAAGACAAAACGACAACTTTGTTTGCCGAAACTCTCTGGGGAGGGCGGCTCTATATTGTATAGCTTAAGGACGTCAAATAAGACTTAAAGAGGGTACCAAGTCCCAGCGCAGGCCCTAAGGGAAACACTGTGTCACCAGCAGCCCTGGAAGGCAAACTAATAGCACTTAGGGAAACGGGAAACTCCCAGTGTTTTATAAACCTCATCCTCAGATTCCATCTCATGGCAACTTTCTCGCTGAGATTAAGAAATAAAAGGGAGCTTTTTCAGTAAATAGAGCGTGCTTTAGGGGTCAGTGAGGAGATTCAGCAGGCAAAGGCACTTGTCACCAAGCTTTGATAACTGGGGTTCTATCCCTGGTGCCCACATGGCGGAGGCAGAGAACCCTACTCCTGCAAGCCGTCTCCTGACCTCCACATGCATATTACGGTATGTGTGTGCATGTGTGTGAGCGAGTGCACGCACACACACACTGGCAAGCACATGCTATGGCCCTTGTGTACACACAAAATAAATAAATGTAAAATGTGTTAATGCTTACTGTAAGATTTATAAAGATGAGAAGCGGTTCCTGTCTTAATCCCAGAACTCAGAAGGCCCAGGCAGGGGCACTGAGAGAGCAAGACCCAAATAAGAGATAAACCGGGGGCTGGAGAGTCGGCTCACTGGCTGCTCTTTGGGAGGGAGCATCAGGGTTTGGTTCCCAGTACCCGAACACAGTGGCTCACAACTGCCTGTGACTCCAGCTCCCGGAGAACCTGATCCTCTCTTCAGACTCCTGGGGCATCTGCTCCCACACCGTCACACACCCACACATGGACACAGAATTAAAGATAAAAACAAAATTTTAATATAGTGACCACTACCCCTCCATGCCGTGAAGACTCCTTATTCAGACAGCCCTAAAAGGTTTCCCTAGTGAGCTCAGTCGACACTTTTCCTGCACGTGTCCAGTGTTCCAGAGCCCAGAGGTGTCATAACAACCCACTGCCAACCGAGGGCACGACGAACAGACATGCCCACCCTTTCCTCCGGGTTTCACTCTCTGGGGTCTCTGTAACACTGCGGTCTAAAATCACTAACTGGACC